TAGCAGTGGAGGTAGCCTAACAGGTGGACATGTGAAAATGACTTGCAACTTGTTAGTAGAAGATTAGAGTTTATGTCCTCTCAGTGCTTGACAGACCCACATTATTAACATTGATAATAATCCACTCTTTGAAATATAACTTGAGTTAATTAACACAACAATGAACAAAATTACAATTAGAACATTCATGCTTGCCTTCAATCTATGTCTTTGGCCTGTAGGTCTTTTACTATTATAAATTTTAACTTCAGATGTTTCATTTTTCTTACATAACTCAAAGATTTTTCTGTACAGGTATTTGAAAAAAGAAAAAAAGATCTGTTAGACATTGATTATTAAATAAAATAGTACTATTTCACATGTTTAATTTGGTATTTTAAATAAATAAACATTGAGTGGGATTAATTTTATTATTCGATCTTTTAAAGACTAGTTTCAGTGTGAAAAACTATCACTATGAATTATCCTAATCTTTTTCTTTCATGAGAATGAGTTTGCATTAACAGTGCTCTTCTGAGAGTTTAAAAATGTTCTGGATGTGGTGGCAGCACACACTTGTAATCCCTGCTAGTGGGAGGCTAACACAGGAGGACCGCTACAAATTTGGGGTTAGCCTGGGCTACACAGTCAGTTCAGGGCCAGCCTGGACTATATAGTGAGTTCAAGACCAGCCTGGACTACTGGTGAGACCTTGCCAAAAAAAAAAAAAAAAAAAAAAAAAAAAAAAAAGAGTGACAATCTTTGTGGAATTAAAAAACCAAAATTCCCCTAAATATTACTGTGATGGCTAAGATTTAAGTGCTGCTTTTGTGGGAAGACTAAACGTATTTTCAAAGTTACTAATGTTAAAGTAAAATTCTCCAAATCATGAAAATATCACTCTCACTCAAATGTAGAACAAATATACAGGAAAGATGCATTTGATTCAGTCATAAACAACTCAAAGGAATGGTAAGAATGGGTCTAAGAAAGCTTAATATGCTGAATGTATACTGAAGAATATTAGGATATCCAAGAAAGAATGTAGGAATAATATTGCTAGGTAAGTACATAGATAATTAATGTCCGATGATAACCTTAGGGATATACTTTCAGGTAGAAACGAGTCATTTGCATGGCTACTGGAAAAAAAGTCTATAAATTAAGATGTAATTGTATAGACTCTGGCTTTAATCAGTGATAATGAACCTAAACATTTATAAACTTACTTAGATTTAATCATATTAATATTTATCTGCAAGAAAATGCCTCAATGTCTCATTGAAAAGATGCAAATGTGTTCCTTTGATTTTTTGTGCTTTTTCCAATTTCATTTTAGCAGTGATCACTTTCAAGACAAACTATGTGTTTGTCTTTTCAGCCAGCATCCTTGGAGAATGAGATACTGACGATATATAGATTCAAATGCTGTCTTCAAAGATTAAATTTTCTCTTAAAAGATTATCCTTCTATAGTTGCTTCCAGATTTTTATATCATTTACTTTAGCATAATAATTCAGTATTTGGTGATATTTTTTCCACCCAATCAAAAAGGGGAAAATGAAGTTAATAAACTTTTCTCCAAAGAAGTACAAATGGCCAATGCATCCATGCAAAAATGTTTACCTTCTTCATGTATTAGGGAAATACAACTGAACAACTGTGAGATTTCATTTTACCCAATCAAAAGGGTTACCATCCAAAACACAAAAACAAAAATATTAGTAAGGATGTTGGAAAAAAAGAACATTTTTACATTGTTGGTGCAGCATATGCTAATACAATCACTATGGAAATTGTTATGGAGATTCTTCAAAAAGTAAAAATAGAAATTCCACTTGATCCAGCTATGGCTTTCCTGGGTCTATTCCTGAAAGAATTAAGGGCATCCTACTATAATGATACACACATACCCATCTTTACAGCAATACAATTTGAACTAGCTAAACCACAGCAGCCTAGATGCCCATGGAGAAAGGAATGGATTAAAATATGTGGTCCATACACACAGAGGAAATTTTCTCAGCCTGAGGAATGATTCACTTCACTTGGAGAAAATGGTAAGATCTTTAAGATAATGTCAAACTCAGATAGAGAACATTAAAATCACATAGTTCCTCTTATTGAAGAGCCCAAAATTTAAATAAATTAAAAATTAAAATAGAATTTTAAAAATTTTAAAAAATTTAAATAAATTCAAGGTTAAACTAAAAGAGAGAAGGTAGAGGACAGGAAGGCAGGCTTTTTGGCAATAAGGCAGGAAAGCAGGAAAAGGAGGAGGGGGACGGGAGGAAGAGAAAGGAGGGATGAAAATGGTCAAGATGCAGATACCGTACACCAAGATATAGATACCAAACAGCACGATATCCTGTAATAAGTACACCAGCTCTCCGAAATGCACGCAGTTATTATGTATTACACACATGTACCAATAAAAATAAATTAATAAAAATTAAATCATGCTTTAAATGAATATGTTTGTATAAATAACTTTTAAAATGCGATATTTAAAAGTGAACTAGTGTTCCATCTAAACTAATGTCATTATAACTCACCTAGAATTATTTTTTATCTTGTAAGAATTAGTATCTACATATTACATACATACTATATGACTTTTCTGTGTACTGGTAATGTACTGACATTCTGAATTATACTGAGCTTTTTTTCCTGAGGGACATTGTTTGTAGGCTCATGAAGTCTATGATGTGATAGTGGCCAGTGTGTTGATTTCTCTCCTTCTGTACTTTCAGACCCCTTTGTTAGAAGAAATCCCACCTCATTTCAGTTCTGAGCGTTGAATGAATTTCCATCACTGTCATTTCTCTGTAATCCTCCGAGCTTTCTTGCATTAACAAAGAATGAGACCACATTGGGAGAATTGTGTAGGCCTCTTCATGTCCCAAGAGCAACGTGGTTTATGCAGAAAAGTTACAGAACTGGAAGATTGCAGCAGGAAACTAGATTGCTATGATTTGTCTTAGCCTTGGACCTGAGACTGAGAGAGACTTTTCTCAACAATCTTAGCAAACGGTCATATTTCTTGGTTCCAATGTCTGTGGTTACAATCCATAGTGGTGTTATCAACTTGTTCATTCACTGGTTAGATGCCACCCATCTTTTCTTGTTTGAGCTGCATGAAGGTATGGACCATGCTTGTCTCAAATATTCTTATCTCATGCGCCCAGCACTGTACCTCAAAAAGGATGAGCTGAGTACATTTTTCCTGAGTGAATCCATCTCTAGTTGCGTGGTGATACCCCTGCTCCGTGTAAAGTCTGAAGGTGGCAAATGGCTTCAGTTGAAGGGGTGGAACGGTACACTGCTGCTTTGGGCTTCACTTGCCCCATATCTTTTCACTACCCTATTTTGCTGATGGAAATATACCAGGCACGAAAGCTTTAGGTGCCACAGAAGATGAATATGACCATTAAAATATAATAATAACAGTAGTAAAAAAAAAGAGAGAGAGAAAAAAATAGTGAGCTGAAGTAACATAGGCTGAATTTTTTTTTGAAAAATACCTTGGTAGCTAATTCCAAAAATAGTCTTGGTCTAAAATAAAATCATTGCTGTGATGGTGCCTTTAAGCAATACATTAGCTCAGAAACAACGGCATTGCTCCAAATGTGTCAGCATTTAAAAGTCTGCCTTACTGCGATTTTTCTTAATTTATTGTAACCTAATAATCATAGAACACATCATTTATATTTGACACAGAATTATGTTTTAACCAAGAACATTCATTCAGCTCTATAACAAGGAATAATTGTTCGATTAACATTATTCTTTCTAAAGAAATGCAATATTTATTCACGTGTACTTGGTGAATGAATTCTTTATAAGCACATTAGCAAGATGTGGAATGATAACATCTCTGCATTTTCAGAAGATAGTCACATAAAGTGGTTGAAAAAATTTGGGGTGGTGGTGATGATCAGTGGTTTGTAAAGCATGATGGATATTCTGAATGAAATGAGTATTTGGGCATCTAAGAAGCTATAATAATTTTATCAAGTGAAAGGCGATCAATAAGTCATAATGTCATTTTGTTAAGCACAAGTCAGCTTATCAGTTAAAAAATAGCTTCATATTATGCTGGATTTCTTTAACTTCTTCATTTATGTATAAATGTACTCTCAAGGACAATTGACTTAAAAAGAGGCTTTGTTAAAATGTAGACAATACTACCAGGGCTTCTGAGTACCAACAGTTCTTTTTTTTGTGTGTCTCTTGTTCAAATCAGGTTGCATCTGTTTCTGACAGATGTATCATGTGTTTGTGGTGTAACCTGACATCTTTTTTCAGATGAGCTGAATTAAGAGTGATTCTGACAATGAGTAGCTAAGACACTGTCAGAAAGCTGGAAAACATGTTAGTGTCACGGTTATGACATAAATACAGTGGCATAAACCTCACAGTATCATTAAATTAATGTCTTTCCAACTCACCCTTGAGAAGGCATGAAGTATCACTGCCCTTAAGTACTATCATTTGGTCACGAAAATAATATAATGAGACAAAATGCAAAGGTCAGTATAATACATGCTTGAAGTGGTGTTTCACGTTCCAGACTAAGCATGTAATTTATATGTGGGTCTGTTGTATAGTACCCACGTGAAAGAATTCTAAAACATCAAAATCACTCTTTTTCCAGAGTCTCCCTCATCAAAAAAGTCATTTAGCTTCAGCATCTCAAAAGCATTCTTAAAAATACTGATCATGAAAAACACAGTGATTTTATGGATATTAATTAGACCTTATAACTAATTTTCTATGTTTTGTGCCCTGATAAGCAACATCTTCAAATAAGAGAGAAATGAAGCATGCATTTAATACTGTAGCTCTAGATTGTTAATTTTTGAAAGTTAGTAAAGACTAAAATGGAATCCATCCTGGGTTTCAATAGACCATGAGATGTAGACAGTCATTTTTGATCCATGAACCTACATACACATTTAAAATGCTTTAAGGAAAAGTATATCTATCCTTAGAATGACTTCTCACATCTTTGTCTCTAGGATCAGAGGTGATTGATCTTGATGGAAAAAGTTCCCTTCTGTACAGATTTGATCAAAAATCCCTGAGCCCCATAAAAGATGTTATTTCCTTGAAGTTTAAAACGATGCAGAGTGATGGGATTCTATTGCACAGAGCAGGGCCGAGTGGAGATCATATCACCCTGGAATTAAACAGAGGAAAACTCTTTCTACTCATCAATTCAGGTAAAATCATTGGAGGAAGTGTTTGAAAATATGACCATTTACTTAGTACTTAGGTAACTAAGCTTTTATAGTTTTTTTTTTAAATAGGTGCTTTATTTTCAGATTCAACGTCTTAACTGTATGCTGATATTGCTTTTATGTTCAAATAGTTCATATTTTTCAAATTGTAAATGAACCTCAGGAAATTTCCCCCCAAACTTTGATACAGCTATATGACTATTTTCTAGCTTTATAAAGAAAGGGATGGGTCATTGGAAAATATCACAGTGGTAAAAATAATGAGGTTGTAGCAAAGATAAAATTTACATAGAAAATGAGCATGCAATGGGTAATAATAATAAAAAGAATTAACAGTGGAAGAAATTACAGCAAGGTTGAGAGATCATTATATTCAAATGTCAGGTAAATCCGTACTAGTGTTTGGGATGGGATGCGTGAAAGGGAAGATTATTGTGAAAGATGCTGGACCACAGAATAGAAGCTTTATTTTTTATTCTTTTAACTGGGAATAATGGTGCGTTTATTTTTCTCTCTTCTCAGGTTCAGCTAAACCACCCTCCACTCACACCCTGATCAATCTCACCCTGGGCAGCCTGCTGGACGATCAGCATTGGCATTCTGTGCTCATTCAGTGTCTGGGCAAACAGGTCAACTTTACAGTGGACGAGCACAGGCATCGTTTCCACACGCAGGGAGAATTCAATTACCTGGATCTCGATTATGAGGTGTGATGGTTACATTTCAATTAATACAGACATTGTGATGTATATGCGGTTTAATGTCCCACAAAAAAATATGCTACAGAGAATCCACCATTACAGTAAATCACAAGGCTAGGGAAATATGTCCCAGTGTGGACCAACTCACAGTAACAGGCTTGGGCCAGTGGTGCCTGAAGCTTCGTCTTCCTCACAAAATATAAATTTATTATTATGGCATAGGATCCTCCTTTGCACCTGAAGTATATAGCCACAGCTCTTTTATCGGCAGAAAATTTTCTCACAGAGCGATTTCATTAGCACTAGCAAATATAGGATGTGTTGCATGATTTCTTTGTACTACTGTGTACTCCGGAGCAGTAAAGATTGATGGGGAGACTGTAGCAATGAACATTAATTAACTCATTACCGATCAATTCACATACAAATACCGATATGTGCTAGAAATTTACATAAAATGAAGCCTCATAGTTACAGTATTAAACAGGTCAAGTTTTACTATGGATATAAAGACATACTTTTCTTCATGAAGCAATAAGTACCAAAACCAGATGTGATTAACAACTTGTACGGATAATCAAGCTCTGGTGTGAATGAAGACTGAATGCATATAAATTTGTTTTAAAGTTTGCACCTTACTATTTTTCTGTGCATGGTGATGAAAACTTGAACTGTGTATGATGATTACAACTATGGTTGCTAATCATAATTACATAAGCAGATTATCATAAAATCACTAAACAATATTATTGATGCCACTTTTCTTTCTAAGATCAGCTTTGGAGGGATTTCAGCACCTTCAAAACCAGTGTCATTCCCACATAACAATTTTCATGGATGTTTAGAAAATCTTTATTATAATGGAGTGGATATCATTGATTTGGCCAAGAAACAAAAGCCACAGATTATCATTATGGTAAGAGACTGCGTATGATGGAATGAGTGAAAACAAGTATTTCTGCTGTAAAATTGCCCCATTATCATTTATCATACGATGTGATATTTTAGAGATTGCTCGTATTTAAATGTTTCTCCCTGATTAGCAATATGCATAAAGGAGAGTAATTCTATTTAAAGAAATTATAATTCTCAGAGCATAATTTTACTCATATTTGAACTAAAGCAGTTATTTTTAACAGTTGATATTTTAATTTTGTTGTAACATTATTACTCCCAGGCAGCTAATTTCTTTTTGCTTTGTAATTTTCTTAATAAGATATTCCCTGACCAACTCACCAGATGAGCATGCACAGTTTCCAGAATCAAATAACATGCATGTCTGTTAGAGATATATTGGAAAAACCTTGTATTTTGTCACGGTCACTCATAGCAAATAAAATGAATTGACTGTTACAACATTGCATCTGCCAATCTGTTGAAACAATAGTGTTGCTTGGGCTGCATGATATTCTGGTCTATGGAAGTGTGGTGGATCTAAAGCTAGCTGCTGGCCATTATTCAGTTAGGGGAGCAGTGCCAGTGTGGGGGTGTCTCTTAGGGTTTGGATCTTAGCATTGCTGCAGGATTGTGGAGGGGAAGATCCGGCAGCGTTTAGGTGGAAAATAGAAAAAGCCCCTCATTCTGCCTGCAGTCATGGTATGCATAATGTACTGGACCTGGTAGAGCATTTCCAGCCTGTGGGGGAGCTTTTCTGAGGAGGTCTCTGGGACTTGCTGCCTCTGAGAAACATTGCTCCCAGGGTCCTTAGTCAAGAATGTGAGGGCTCAGATCTGGGTTCAGCGGAGCCAGTCATGGGGGAAAAGAGATGCTGCAGAGTGGTGGAGAGCGAGATGGATGCATAAAACAAAGCTCGGTGGGATGAACCAACAGAACCTTACTTGCACATAAACCCTAGATCCCTTCGAGCAAAAAGGCTCCTGTTTACTGCCTTTTTCAGCTCACTTTTACCCAAAGAGCACACAAGGAAGAAAATTTTAGGAAACATAATTTCCAGCTGTATCAATTTGATAGGAGAAAGCAGACCTAAATTTATTTTAATTTATTTCTTTTGTTGCTTAAAATTCAAAATGCGTATAGGAATTTAAGCTCATGTTGCACTGGAAAACCCCAAAGCACATCAAAATATTTATTACCAGGGAAGTATTTCATTCCTAATTCTGTCTGAATTTGGTGGTATTTTTATGATATAACAACCAGCAAGATTTTGAAGTAGTTTCTTTATAAAAAAGAAATAATTTAAAAGGAAAAAATATTACAGATAGACATGTATGTGTGTTTCATCTAAAAATGAATTTTCAGAAAATGCTCCAACATTATTTTTGAACAAGAGGATGTGCTACTTGAAGAGAGACAAGCGGTTGTTCATTGAAGCGTAAGACCAAGCAGTGGGTGACATGTTTTCACTTTCGCTGGGTTTGATAGTCTTATAATTACTTATATGTTATGGGTTAGTATACAAGTTTGCACTGTTTTGTCTTCAGCTTTTGTTGTTTCATTTACTGGAGCACAATAATGGTTGACAATAAAAGTTAACTCACTTGTAATAGAATCATAATATAGCCAAATGTTTTAGTTTGACCAAGACCACGTGCTTTCCCTTCCAATGTGTTTTCTTCTACATAAAGTCTACCTCATTGATCTTTCAAATCTATATGAAAGCTGAGAAATGGAGAAAAGACCCAAAAAAGTTATTGAAGAATCTTCAAGGTACCGGATATGGCAAGGGTTTGGATTTTCATGGCAACAGGAAAACGTTTTAAATTGGGAATCAGGGAAGATTGATAAGCAGCCTTCATGAATATTTCAATTTCTCTTACTAATGGGCTGTGAATAACGTACTGAAATCTTTTTTCTTTTATTTCACCCTCAGGGAAATGTGTCATTTTCTTGTTCACAACCACAATCTGTGCCTCTGACTTTCCTGAGCTCCAGGAGTTACTTAGCACTGACAACCTTTTCCAGAGATGATGAGATTTCGGTCAGTTTTCAATTTCGCACTTGGAATAAGGCAGGACTTCTGCTTTTCAGTGAACTGCATCTCGTTTCCGGGGGTCTCCTCCTTCTGCTCAGTGATGGGAAACTTAAGCTGAATCTCCATCCACCAGGAAAATTACCCAGTGACATCACAGCAGGTAATAAATGTAGTCCCCCCGGCAAAGCATATGGATTTGAAAGATTTCATTATCTCCATGTCCCTTCTCCACAAATTTTATGCATAACTAAAAAATTAATATTTGTTTAATAAATGAATACTTGAGCTAATAAGATTATCAATCCTCTTCCTTAGAGGAATTTGATTCCAATTTCCTTTTAAATATGATCCCAACATTGGTAGTTCTTATTAATCAATGTGGGAGTAATGGAAGAATAGCAGCTTTTTCCCGTGACTGTGTCTCTCACTCAGACAAACCATCAGCATATCCAGGGAGACGTGTTTTGGAAAAAATGTGAAAGATCTTCAAATAGCCCAATAGGGGAGCTGAGAGTCTTTTAATGGAAAACTTTACTTTGTCAAACATAGCTTTGTCTCTTTGTTTTTTGAACAATGGAAGATCTCCTTCTGGTATTTATATATCACTATATTCATATGTGATATGAAGCTTAACTCACTAACCAAGTTAACTTCACTTGCTGCTGTGGTTTGTAAAGAGTTGCATACATTTGGGAGGATGCAGAGATGTGGGCAAATTTACTCATTTGGGGCAGCAGTTGGAATTCTCTCCATTTTTAAGCAATATGGTATTTTAGTGATTAGAAGCAAAATGATTAAAGTGATGATGTGAATGTCTAGAAAATTAATGTCCAATCTAGGTCAGTGCTTTGAGGGAGGGATATTTTTGTCTCTTCATTAAAATTATACAGTTCTCACGAAGGGAACTCATCACATTTTTACATATATAGAGTAGCATTCAAGCCTGGCAACCAGAGGTCACACTGGAATACATTGCTATGTTATTTTAATAAATGGTTTTTAAAATAATTTAAAGATGCCATTGTACTGCTTCTCTGTATTAACAATGAACAAAAATTCATAGATTATGACTTGGAGGGAATAAAAAAAGGTAAGAGACAGTTGAAAATTAGTAAGAAAAAAGTACACAAGTGGATACACAAATGAATTTCCTTTATGCATTGTTTTGTTGTTTATATATCACTATAGTTTAAATATGGGAGCAGGAAGTTCAATATTAATTATGAATTTTAATAGATACTATGCTCTGACATTTTATGTAATACTCAAAATATGGTAGATTTGCAGGCTTGACAAAAGGAAATAACTTTATCAGTTTCACATTACTAATTAATAGGTCTATAAAATGAAGGTCTAAAATTGTAAACTTGGCATGAGGGTATGGTTTACTGTGATGTGTTTGACATTCTCTGAAGTGATTATATTCACAACCTAATTTTCAGCCTCTTAAAGAAATTACTTCAATTCACTGCTATTGTAGTCACCCTGTGAAGCAAGTTCATTTCTCACCACTTTACAGGAATGAATACTTAATAAATTACTAGGTGTAAGTCTATATATAATATCCCAACTGCCTAAAATATCTAAGTGGGGTGGTAAATTCATACACAGTGTAATCTCTTATATCATATGACTTCATGTAATTATTTCCATAGCTGACAATGAGCCTATGCAATGCGAATATCAACACAGCAAAACTGTAACATTTCAGATCAAAGTAGTCAGCCTTCACTTACCGACTGCCTCTACTTTCATTTTTCCAGTTTCTTTCAAATCATTAATTTTTTTGGTAACTTTCGTGAAGTAACTATATTTTCATAAACAAATAAATTACCTAAAGGATAAGCAGGTGAGCAGTCAGTTTGTTCCCCAATAGGGCAAAACTTTTCCCTCGTGTATTATTTGGGATTATTAAAAATATTATGTCAGCCTAAATAATTTTTTAGATGTTAATGATATTGTATCAGCCTGAATCATGAAACATATTAGTAGCACTCTAAAATTCTTCATGATACAAAATATTTCTTGTCACCTTTATAGACATCCAAGAAAAAAACTACTCATCCTGCATCAAGGAACCAAGAAAAAAATACAATTATATTTTTCTGTTTTAAAAAGTCTTTCATTGTTGTCTTAGTTACTTTTCTTGTTCCTGAGGCAAAATGCGCAATGCCTCCAAGTTAAGGGGTGGAAGGTTTACTTAGCTCACGATTTGTAGCAGTTTCAGTCCGCAGCAGGCAGGCTGTGGCATGGCAGGTGGGCATCAAGGAGAGGAAACAGGCAGGAGGCAGCAGAGCAGCAAAGGGATGACGATGACTGCAGCTCCTGTCTTACTCAGGTTACTTAGGGTAGGTAGCACTCACACCCTTATCCGAGCATTGCTGATGAGCCTAACATTGCACCCTAAATCAATCCCAGCATCATGTACTCTAGGTGCAGCCACCTCTGAAAAACTCACCATGGACAGCATGAGGCCTTGAGGAGGACATTTAGATGCAAGCCATCACAATCGCAAAAAATGCTATTATTTTTTCTTCAGCTTTGGTCCACTGGTAGAAGTCAGAGTTGTGAACAAGACTTTTTCCTGAGGCAGGGCCCACGGAGTCAGGCTTGCTGGTGTGATCTGTCTGCATTTTTCAATGACTGGTATTTGGGGATTCTGTGACCCTGGGCATGATGGAGCAGCACTGCTGGTTTGCCTCCCCAGCAGAAGCCATGTTTTAATGTCCCTTTCCTCACTGTCAGAGTTTCCCAGGTCAAAAACTATAAACCTGCCACCCTTTAAACTCCTGCTGTCTGCTAAAATGAGGGGGACCAACAACCTCCATATTTTCATCTTGACAAGAATTACCCTGTGATCTGCATCCTTAACTCTGCTTGGAGACTACAGTTAGTAGATAGACGAGTTGCTGGTGCCTTCAGAAAAGATGCTTTGGAAAGAAGGACAAGCTTTGTCTGCCCCTTGAGTGATGACCTGCATATAACTGCCTTTTGCACCTTTCCGGAGACTCTGCCTTACTCATCAGGCCAAGTTTTGCCTTACACGTCCTTATACATCATACCCTCTGGATGCCTGTTACAGCCTTTTGAGAGAGTGATAGCGGCTAACCATAATGTTTCTTTAGCAATTTAGGACCCATTCCAGGAATTATGTACAAGGGAGCAGATTTAAACTTTTTCCTCCTGCTATATTTTGTGTGTTATGTGGTTTGAACCAGAGAGATGGCAGGACACAGGAAACACAAATAAATGATAGATAGACAGATAGATAGATAGACAGACAAATGTGGGTAGAATTGTGTGTGTATGTATACTAGACTACTATTATATCTTTTCCCACCACTTTCAGTGCAAACACTTCCATTTTTTACTCCCTTCTTCTCTTTGTAGTTGTCAGCATTTTCCAGCAAAGGCTGCAGTAAACACGTCTAGAATTTCAGCAAGTTGGTTTTATTGCTTGTTACAACAAGAGGAGCACACTGGTAGTAATCAAGGGATTTATCTCAGTTCAAAGGTGTTAAAAAGGACTTATTACAGTAGTTTGGGTTGCATTCACTATTTTGGGAGAATTTTTGAGAAAGCAAATATTGCTGTGATTAAACTCTGACAGGAAGTGTGGGTTATTCTATGACTGGATATCTTTGTAAGTCTTACCTAGTAAGATAATGGGTGTAAGTGGACAACAAGCAAAACAAAACAAAACAAAAACCCCCAGTAGTCATTCATATTTCTCAGAAAAGGGGAAATTTTGGTACTTTTTCAGTGTGTGTAATAGACTTACTTATGTCTGTGTTTATGCAAGTTTGTGAAGTAGTCTTGATTTTTTCCGCCCTTTGCACTGTAGTCATAGACTGAGTGGCCTTCTTCAGTGCTGGTATCCCAAGAGGCTGCTGAGAATTAATGCCAAGGCTTGGTTCTACACCAGGCAGCCACTTACAGTACAAGCCTCTCTGATAGAGTCTAGCCAGACCCAACTATCTAGGGTTGCTTTTCTTCTGCTTGGCGTAATTGTTTGACATGAGCAAAAACATTAGGGGACCGTTTACCTTGCAGATGAAGAGCAAGGATTTGGGAGTCAACTTAGTTTGGGTTTTGCTTTTATGCACTAAAATCAGAACCATTATTATGAGCTAGAAACCATTTTGGTAACTGCTCTCTTCTCTGAGCCTCCCATCCTCCACATTTAAAATGAAGATAATAATAAGGTGAAGACTAAATGGTACAATGCATACAAAGCACCCATTATAAATAATAGCTCAATAAAATTATTGTTATTATCATTCTGTTTTTATACCACATGTACTCCCCAGCCAGACTCAAAGTTATGAATGGTGGAAACAGTGAATAGAATTATCATTTAGTTACGTACCATCACCCAGAAGAACAAAGTACGAATTTTGTGATTATTCCGTTTCTTCTCCTGTTTCACAGCAGTGTGTTCCTTAAAGGGTTCTCACTTCTGGTCAAGCATGGAAGTGAAAATGTTTACTTGGAAAGGAAATAGAATCTGATCCAAAATTGTGGAGTGTTCGTTGAAATAAGTTGGAGGCTTTTCATGACTTAATGTGAATAATAAATTCCATTGCTAGGTAATGTCTTCAGAGGCAAATGATGTTAATTGCAAATGACGGTAAAAAGTAGTCCAAAGATTTCTTCATAAACATGGCACAAGTTCAGAACCTGCTACTTCGCTGCAGGGATGCACTTAACGGTGGCAAATTGCAGGGTAGACCACGCTGGTGGTCTTTGGTTCATTGTCCGTGCTGGCCTCTGTTTTGACAGTAACATTCCACAGGCCTCCCAGAGCCCTGATTTAAGCCTGTTTGTGCTTCAGGAGCTGTTGCCTAGAGCACTGCTACATGCAGTGTGGTCCCTGGGCCAGCACTGGCTCAGGGAAATACTTGTTTCTGTCCATGACATGATAAGTATAAAGATTGTGATTAAGCTTTTAGAACCATTAAAGCAAAAAGATATTACCGTAACACGATCAGTGGACTTGTATTTTACATGTCTTTGTAATTTAATTTTTTGCTCATTTATTTTTATCATAGTTTATGAAAGTATCACTCTGCAATAGATCAGGGAATGAAATGTTCATGAGCTCTGGTAGTTTTAGAAACACCTCCCAGGGTCAATGGAAAAGTAACATGAAATGACAGGAAGATCTGAGGGCACAGGGCACACGCATGCTTTGGGGCAAGAGTCGGGGAAGAAAGTGTCCACATACAGGAGCAAATGTGTGCAAGGGCTTTGGCTCTGAGTATATCCTCCTGAAGAAAGCATAGATGGCAAATCAGGAACATTTGACTTATTTTAGTCCAATCTTATGCCTTAGGGATTATATAGGCCTGTCCAGTCATCTACTTAGGCTCCACTCTTAAAACATGTATAAACACAACTCACCCACATTCCCTTGTCAGTTTTTATGTATCTTCCATTGCCTTTAATAAAACACCAAACCAGAGTTGGATCTTAGCAGGTTGGATTTTTTCCCTCTCATTATGGATGTGCTATAAAGTGAGCATCTGTAATGGAGCCAGAATTTATGTTAAATACATCCAGGGCAAAAAGAAATCACCTATGGGGGCTCTGATGCACTTTTTACCTGAAAGCCTGTTGTAGAAACTAGCTCAGGGGAATAAAGAAATTGGATATATTAGCAAAAAAGAAATAACATATAATATCAGAAAAGAGGCTCTTTGGGCTGAACAGAGTACTTACATATTTGTTTACTAATTTTATCTGCAGAATCATACAGAGCTGAGCAATCAGTGGGTGTAAACTTCACTGGCAGATCCACAGTGGAGACACTTAATTCTGCATCTCTGCTCAGATTTCAGTCACAGAGCCCCTGATGGATACAATTCCCTTTACAAGCGAAAGGCCAGCCACCTCAGGGATTTCTGACACTAATGTTGCCTTAAGAAGGATTGCAGATGATTGTTTAGAGGCCATAAAAATATATCGATTAGTTTTATAATAGTAACTTTATATAAAAGTTAAGAATATAATTAGAATTGAGGGAATAGGCAAATATAGTTATGTGCACACACAGAGTGGAGGCCATGACTTGTGATGGTTATGTTCTATACTATAAAGGACCTCTGGACATTGTATTAGGGAATCCTAAACCATTACTTCTAAGGGAAACACAGGGTTAGGCTTCTGTGAAACTTTGTGCACAAAATATTTTCAACTGATCAACGTGTGACCTTCACTTGTATATGCATTACTGAAAAGCACCATAATTACTATGAACTGTGTTGTTGATTTACTAACATTACACTTGGGGCTCACAACATTCTAACTCATGTCTGACTTAAGCTTATTGGGCGTGTGTGTTCATCCCCAAAGACACCGTCTATGTGCCTTCTCGTGCATAGGGACACTGACCACCACTTCAGCTCTGTCCCTGGGGGCCGACTTAAACAGCGAAACCAGCTACAGACTTTCCAAAAAATGTATTTACATCTTGAAAGCTGAAACAGTAAAGTACAGCGTTGTCTTGTTTGACCTTAGCAGGAAATGTGCGCCTTGGGTAACTCAAAGTCTTTGCTCCAGATATAGTTTGCTAAATATTCTAGTATAATATCCTAAGATATCACATAAGATATACATAAAAGCATTTAATATAACCTAGAATTTGATGAAATAGCTATATTCATCCTAAACTCTTTCCCTCCTAGAAGTAAATTATATGCATTGAAAGTGAAAATCTTCGATGGAAAATTAACAATAATATTTTAACATTCAGCATTGTCTGGGTCTGGGGATCTTTTGCTCTCTGTTCAGACTCTAGGAAGGGAAGATAATAATGTACCACTTTGTACATAAAGGCACTGATTTCCTATTTGGTTCCTTTTCTTCTCTTCCTTTTGTTTCTATTTTGTTAATACCGTAGTGTCCCTTATCTATGACTTTTCTTTGCATGATCCTGACAGCTACCTGGAGTCAACCATCGTCTGAAAAAAATAGTGAGAGAAAGTTCTAAAAATAAATAATTCAAAAGTTTTAATTAAGTTTTATTACAAGGAGCTGCTACAATTATTCTCCTACTGTTGTTACTCTCTAACTGTTCTTAACTTACAAATTATGTGTAATCATAGGTATGTAAGTATAGGAAAAAGCATAGTATATCTAGGGTTTCTGGCATCTGCTATGGGTCTTGATTGTAACCCACACGTAGGAGGGAAACTGCAGAAGATGTAAGTATTGTCGCCGGTTGAGCTCTCTTCTAACTGAGTTTCTGTCCCCCAGGTGGTGGGTTGAATGATGGACAGTGGCATTCCGTCTCCTTATATGCAAAAAGGAATCACCTGACTTTGATGGTGGACGGCCATGTGACCTCTGCTTCCCCTCTGCTGGGACCTGAGAGTTACTCAGGTGGTGTGTACTATTTTGGAGGTAAGAAAAAGGATCGAGCCACATGGGCAACTGGACCATATTTTCATTTGCTATTCTTGTGTCTTGGTGAAGTCCCTATGCGTTAATCCATGCTAATACTAAGGAATAATTTCTTCCTTTCTTTAAACACTAAAATGTTGACTGGATCAAGATGATGAACCATAATCTAAAACACATTTCTGCAAAGTGAACTTCCTTATGTTTATGATTTCTGTAATGAGATTTATTTTAAGTAGGCCACCTTCTTCAGTCCTTGCCTTCAAGCTTTGTTATATTTTCCTAATGCTAAATGGCCCCCGTACATTGTCTTCTGATTTTATTGCAGTGTCTTCGTGATCACACCTTTTAGCTTCCCGAGAGCATTCTTGTTGCTTTCCCACAGCCCAGTGCAGAAAAATATGATGCAAATGCACAAATAATTTAACTTAATTAGCCATGGTGATCCCCTGTCTTTGCTAAGCCATAATGCCCTGATCCACTTGAGGAAATCGGGACACTAGCCTTCCGCATCAGGCCATTTCCCTTTGAGAACAAGAACAAATGAATCCTTTCTTCATCCCATAAATGTTTGATTGGACTGGAAGCTTGGAAAAGAAAATTTGAGAAATGGAAATGAATACCTGTCACTGGAAAATGAAAACAAAATGTTCTTTGCCACTAAAAATGCAGTGTTAAAACTGTTAGTAGTAGGACATTGCCTTCAAGATATGTGTTTCTTATATTATCATTTTTGTATTGTTCTATTACATTTTAATAGTCATTCTGTCTAAACTCAATTTTTAGTTTGAGTAAAGGCGCCTGATCTTCATCATTCACCATTAAAATACAACTTACTTTCCAAGCATTGATAATGAGACATAGCCCATGAATCAGTTCGCCAGAATTTTAAAATTCAAGGAGCAAGTGCATGGTTGAGCACAGTTGTAATTCTCATGCTTTTCGATGGGGAGGTGAGAGGGTTGCAAATTTGAGCCCAACTGGACAAACTCAGTGTCTTGGTGAGATCTTGTCTCAAGATAAAAAATAAAAAGGGAACTAGTGATGTACCTCAGTGCAAAGCTCTTGGGTTCAATTCCTAGCACACCACGTATATATACACGAACAATAACAATAAAAACTCCTGCATAATCTACTACTGTAAAAGGCCGCATAGTTCTACAAGTTTAGAAGATACAATTGCTTCTTTTATTAATATTTGTTCATTTTTGGACCAGCTTGTTTTAGAATATATGACTGATTTTGTGGCAGTCTGTAGGAGCACATTGTCTTAGTCAACAGTAAGATATGTAGACCAGCTTAACTAAGAGCTCTCATTTCAAAGGAAAAGATTTAGGAGCACAGAAAGAAATAAGGGAAGAAAAACTCAGATATTTTATTAAATGATACAAAATAAAAAATAGAAGACTGGATAAAATATTTGTAAATCATGAAAATATAGCCATCATTCTTTAAAAATTTTAGAGCCTTCATGTTCAGATTTAGCAACACTTAGCTACTTTGTAGAGTTTTTCCTCTACTGATTGCTTTCCTTCGTATTGAAATGTTATTGTGAAATAGATCACATGTACACTCGGAAGTTCTTTTTAATTTGATGCATACATTATATTATTTTAAAAATATTTTGGATAGTTTTGGACTTACTGAAAGTTTGCACAGATCTACAGAGTTCTTGTATCTGCCTTATCTAGTGTTCTCCATTGTTCTCAAATTATATCAATAAATCAGGACTGGGGATTTAGCTCAGCTGCATAAGCACCTGCCTTGCAAGCAGGCGGTGGTGAGTTCGATCCCCAGTACCGGTAAAAAGTTAAAAAAAAAAAAAAAAGAAAAAAATTATATCAATAACCATGTTAAGGTAAGCTAAGAATTCTTTTAAGCACATCTTTACATGCATAGCTCTGCTTAGGAAACAGTAGATTACCAATCCATTTGTGTCCCTGTAGGATCATATCCTTAGATCATCCCAGGTAAGCAGTGTCTTGAATTAATGTTTGTTTATTGTTTATTGCTCCTTTTATTCTCCTTTATAACTTTACATGTTAGGATGATCTACATACACCAAAGTGGTTTCTGCAATAAAATTCCAACCCCAAATGCTCTGCAAAATTTGGGCCATTTTAATATTTCCAACACTGAGGCAGCCTCGTACCTCAAGAACCCAAGTGAGAAGATCCATCTTTCGGGAAGTTCACTGGGGCTTTTGGGGCTAGGAATTCGAGATTCTGGGCTATTTAGGGGAGACAGTTCTGAGTGAATACATTGTCTCTCCCTGTGAAGCTTCCTAGGGCCATGGGCAATAGAACAGCTGGCGGGAGGTTAGAGTAGCTGGAGGTTAGAGTAGCAGCCTCTCACATGCAGACTGACACAGAGCTCCTGATTCTGTGGTGGACCTGGCAGTGGGTGGGGTCCTCTTCTAGATTAGTGCTGCAAGTCATATGTCCCTCTCCCAAATCCTGGGCAAGCCAGCAGTTGGTTACCATGGAAAATCTTTTGTTCTGTGCGGATGAGGGTTGTTTTATGGCTGAGATTTATTTTATCTAGGTGGAAGGCATTTTCAGGCATTTAATTCTTCAGCCAGTTTATCTCAAGGTTAAAAAAAAAAACCTGTGTTTTGAGACAGTGCCCATTAGCTCTCCTTTGCCCCTCTCTGAATTCAACTGCACATTTCCAGTTATCTTATCAGAATACAGGCAGTCTCACCTGGCTGCGATGCCCCACTGCAAAGGGTTTGACGGTGCCAACATCCAGGATTCTATTTCCACTTCATGCCAGTCTTGAGAGTGCTGTCATGTGGGAAGGCAGAGCTGCTCGGGGACCAGCGGCACTCTGCACCTGCCACACGAAGCTTTCACTTTTCATCCATCACTTGGTGATTTTAACTTTTTCCCCTCCCTTGAATGAGTGCTTTTCAAAAATTCAGACTGCACTAGGGCGCCTTGTGCTCAGGTCTTATCATTTATAAGTTACCTATTTTAAATCTGGCTTCTCCAGATGGAGGATGACTGAGTGCCTCATTTCTGTAAATTCCCTGTGGAATCTTCGGGCTGGGCATCTCACGAGTTAGTGATACTAAACCAGGTGCAAATTCTCACTTTCCTCTTCCTCCCATGGGTGAAGTGAGGATTATCCACCCAGTGACCAGGCTGTACCACCATGAAGTCTAACCTGACATTTCACTTCTGGTACAGTGACATGGAGTGATAATTTATCTGTCATCCTCAGAGGTGTTTAACATGCTGACTGCCTCGGGTAATGGATCCATCTATTAATTCAGCATTAAATATTCTCTAGAAATCTTCTTATTTTAGAACTTTCATCTCAAATGGGTTCAGTGCTGAACTTTTCCCTGGTATCACATTATATTAGCTTGTGGCTGCTTCTTAACACACACTAATGAGCCTAACCTGGTTGAACTTCTCTTTGTTCTCAGAATTTCTTGCTTATTGAACATGGTAGCTCAGAATATGAATTGCCTCATGATCCAACCCTGTGCTTTCTATACAGTTTGGTGACCTTTTCTTGTGACTCTGAGTTCACTTAGTTTTGTGTCCTGTGGGCACATTTCTCAATTTATTTTATTCTGAAATAGTTTGAGATGTGTCAAGAAACACTGCTTAGAGAAAATGAAATTAGCAGATTGCTGGTGTATGATACTAGCCCCCAAATACGATTGAACTATTATACTTTCCATTTTTAACTTGATAGTCTTTTTTTTATTTTGGTCTTTTTCGTTTTTATCGGTACCAGGGATTGAACTCACGACTGCCTGCTTGCAAGGCAGGCGCTTATGCCGCTGAGCTAAATCCCCAGCCCCCCAACTTGATAGTCTTGATTGGTTAACAACTAATCTAGAAAATATATCAAATATCAAATATATCAAATATCAAAAAATATATACGGTAACTTTGTCCTATGTATAGAAGAATTGTAAATATTGAAAATGTTTGTATTAACATGCATAAATATATCAAAAGCTTTATTTTTATATATCAAATTTGAAACTTCAAAGTTTCCAGTATTGTAAAATAGAATATTTCAATATGCTTGATAGTTTTAAATAATACAGGATTTTACTTTCCCCATAAGTGTATTTTGTTGGGAATATAAAGCAGTAAGGAGAAATATCTTCAGTCAAAATATAATTATAATGGAAACTCCCAGGTAGAAAACAGGCACGGATTATACAGGAATTAAAAAATTGCTGACTTATTTCATATTCTTTGAAATTGTAATAGTGGTTGACAACCATAGCAGCAGAGAAAGATTAATGAAAACTATGTAAGTATAATGTATGTGTTCATACTCCATAAAATTATTTATTTCACTTGGATAAACATTTAGAACACCATTAAAATTAGACAGTAATGGCTAATATTATACTTCTTTATTATGCAAATAATTAAAAGAAATCTTAAATATTAAAAAAATCAATATAAAGGGAACAGTTTTGTATGAGGCAAAGAATAAATAAAATCAGACTGTGAAATGCTTTTGACTTTTAGCCATTTGTATTTATTAAAATGCATGTATCTATGGCTTTTAAATGTATAGGAAAAGGCATTTAATTCAATAAATGGTTGAGAATTTTATTTCAAGTCAATATGTCTCTTTCTTCAGATAGTTAACTTTAAATACACAGGCATTTTATCATTACTGTTTTGTCTTTTATTTTAAAAGGGCACATTTTCATCATTGATGTTCTTAGCTTTTTCAGTCTAAAAAAGTTATTTTCCCAGGTTAATTTATATATAATTTAGTATTACTGGCCAGCATATCAAGATTCAATCTAATGTACATATTTCTAAAATTTGCATCAAACTCCTATATTTTTACATAATTATTATAACACGTGAGTCTGATGACAATAAAAATATATTCTTTATGAACTGCAATTTGTAATTTAGATCAAAATAATAATGACTGTAGTAAGTTTATTTCTTCTGCAGTAATGCAGAAGACAAATATCTATTTCTTTTAGTTTTTCCTATTGAATTATTCTGTGATTATGAGTCTCCAATCATTACCGTCTATTTGGTTATGCTTTTCTTGTTTTTCTCAGGTTGTCCTGAAAGAAGCTTTGCATCAAAGTGTAAAAGCCCAGTTGGAGGATTCCAGGGGTGTATGAGACTTATTTCTATCAGTAATGAATTGGTAGATCTGATTTCAGTTCAGCAGGGGTCCCTTGGAAACTTCAGTGACCTTCAGATAGACTCGTGTGGCATCTCAGATAGGTAAGACCGGACTCACTTATTTATTTTGACATATCCAAATGTTTGATTATAAATTAAAATATATATATATATATATGATGAACATTTATTCTCTCCCTTTCATCTGTTTCACAGGAAGTAGATCTTATTTATATAAGAGATAAGAAAAAATATTATTACATATATATTTCAATTGATAAAATTTAGATAGCTGGTGTGTGGATGTCTCCCCAAAGACTCATATGCTCATAGGTGGGGCTTTTCAAAAGTGGCTGGATCTAGCGTATGTGGATTATGGGTTGTGAATATGGATTAAGGGTGTGATAATCAGATTCGTTCACTGGTTTGGCATTTTAATGGGTATGGGTAATGGGAAGTCCTACCCCGGGTATGGCTGGGTGGCACTAACCAAAGACTTGTAGCTGGGGTAAAGGAAATCATGGAAGGCAGGCTTATTGCTTGCTGCCTCACTGCCCACACTGCCAGGAACTATTTCTCCTCTGTGATGGCCTTCTGCCACGCTGCTTCGGAGCCAGCGGACTACTGCCCGAAAAATCTACATACTGTGAGCTGAAGGAAGCTTTTCTTCCTTTACCTTGTGAGTGCCAGGTATTTTGTCACAGCAATGACAAAGTAACTAAGATAACATGGGACTATGTTAATTGTATGTACACATGCTACCAATACACAAAAAAGTAATGTTGATGCTGCCATAATTTTACATGGGTACAAATGTATCAAAACACATCATTAAACTTAATGGATTAAGGTACTCAAATAGGAAAATTAATCATCAGGTGCCAACAAGTCACAGAGCTAGATGCTTTTGCTGCCCTGACTGATGAACTGTGTTTAGAGACCAGGGAACTTACCAGGCACCTATTCTAATGTGCGGCTTTCACACCTGTTACTGTCATCTCTACAGGAGCACAAGAGAAACAGCTCTGGAAATAGATGGGCCATAGTAACAATCAAGGGGGAAGGATGCTTGTGGACTCAGTAGAAGCATCAGTACAGGGCACGCCAAGGCAAAGTGTGGGTGTTAATTGTAGAAGACAAGCAGCTTTTAAAATAATAACAGTTAAACATAGTTTAAAACTATGGGTAAGCATAGGCAACTGTACTGAAGTAATCTTACTGGTCACACTTTATAATCAAGGCTGTTAAATTTAATTATTGAGTTCAATGGAATGTCACAGCCATTACCGATTTAAGAAAATCTGTAGACCAGGCCCTATGCTGAGCACAGAACATGGATGAATGTTTAAGTCAATCCTTGCATAATCCTTGAAATGTGTTCTTAATAGTATTTTTTCCCTAGGAATATGGAAAATAAATGCACAGAGAATTTAAACCGGTTAGGGTGATGTGGCTAAAACCCAACCAGGAAGCTCCCCTGAAATGCTTGTCTGCCATGTCCTGCAGCCCACCAGGGTGCAAGTTAGCATCTGTGATAGCTAATATTTTATCCATGCATAATAAACATATTTAATGTTTTAATAAATTGTAATTAAAAACAGGTAGCAAGTTTAAAAACATATTAAAAAGTCTGCCAGGAACTCTACACACATCTGCCAATGCACGTCTCTTTCCCACATATGCACAGTGATATGCTCCATGTACCAAAGTTCCTTATACACTCACATGGAATCCTTACTTGCACTAACATAACTCATGTAAAGGTACAACCATACATACATATATACATACGTACATCACGTACACTCACACATACACAAGATACACAAGGGCAGTCAAAGTTCCTAATATACCATGCCTTCCTTCCCCCCCCCCACACATACTCATCTTGAAGCCCTCATTTTGTGTTGTCGGCATGCATGGGGATGATCCTGAATCAGGGACTCCAGATAAAGCAGGGGACAGGGGCATAACTGCAGGATGAGCTGTTCTCCTGCTCCTCACGCCTGGGAGGGAGACCTACCTGTGGGGTGATGGTGGATGACAGGTCTGGCCAAGGTGCTTAAACCTAAACTGTTCACAGGACTGTTAAGTGTACTTTTATATATCAACTCCTAAAGAATATTAACTGATTTGGGAGGGTCACCACCTCAGCCTTCCCATCACCAACCCTCCTGTGAGCCTGGGAAGGCAGAGGGTGTGGTGTGTGCCTGATCTCAATGGCACTCTGACTGCAGAGACCACTGAGATGGAATAAGAGGCCGCTGCAGTGTGGTGTCTGTCACCTTGCTGTCTGGGCCACTGTCCTGGGACTCCCTCATGCTTTCCTGCCAGTTCACCTCTACTGCCTGGTTCTGAGGGTCTGCCTTTGAGCTCCCAAAGACCATCTTCCATCCAAGCCCATCTGTGTCCTCCTTCCAGGCTGCAGTATACCCACAGCCTGTCTCTCTCTCCACAGAGCCCTATAAAACCACCCTCTTTCCTTTCCCATTGTGTCACTCGTAAGGTTTATTCCGGTCAAGTTGAAGATCATGGTGCTAGTCTATCTACGGTGGAACTGAAGGCATAGTATGTTGGGGAGGTGACATGCAGAGAGATTGAGGGATTAGTTCTTGTCAGTTGAAGGTTTTTAGAAGAATATCAGATTTGAATTCCAGTGCTCCCCATTATCCTGGGGCATATAGTCTATTTAATATCCCTGAATATAATAATGTTATATAGATTTTACTTCAAAGCCTTTAGTTGCAGCTAAATTTTACACTGTATGCATGTGTAAGCCTTTTTAAAATATAAATTACCAGGAAGAGGGAATCAAGCTAAATAAAAATCTGTCCTATCCCTTTCAGTTTGGGTGTGTTGGCAGATGCATTTGTTTAGGTTCATGAACAATAAAGATAATGATGAAAATGTCCAAGGGAAATATTCAATGTCCAAGGGAAATATTTAGAAGCTCAAGAAACTGGGTCGATGGGTTGTCTTACTTGATATTGGGATGACTCACAAGAAAAAAAAAGTCAAATACAGTGGTTTAGAACACATGAAAAAATGAGTGTTTTCATACAATATGAACAGCCAAACATTACCAGAAATCACATATTATCATAAAATGAATATAAATAAAATCCACAGTTCAGGCTTTCACAGTTTATTTAAAAATATGGAAAATCCAGTCTGACTAGGAGGAATCAAAAAAGGGGACTGGGTCTTTTGGAAGCAGATCAAACAGAAATTATATATATATATATATATATATATATATATATATATATCACAGTAATTAAATATTCTTTTAGATTTTAGGCAAAGCTGCTTATATCTACTCTTTAAAAAAAAGCGCAAGGTTGAAGTCTGTCTAAGGATGGTCTATTCTGTCTTTTTCTTATTTGACTCCCAAGTAGTATGGTTACCGTTTAAATAAATATTTTTAAATCTCCTTTTTAAAGTTGCCATTGATTTAAAATGGTTCAAAATGAAGTAAATCGTTATATGGTCTTTGAATGGATTCTGGTAAATGTATAAAATGCTAAAATTTGTATAAAATTAATAGGTATGGAAATAGGCTCATTTTATACTTCGTGGATCCTAAACAAAGAGAGTATAAAATAGCATCAGTTTATTACTGTATTTATGAATATACAAGTATAAATCTGTTGGCAGATATGTATGTGGTGGTAATTTGTATCAAGTGAGAATGTAAGTGATTTTTCTTCTTTATTTCCTGGACTGTGTTTTCTGTGTAGTGGACATCTATTATAACCAGGAAAAAAATCAATAACATTTTAAATTAAAAGTGGAAAGGTCCCATAAACAAAACATGAGGTCCTCACCCTTAGTTTTAGTAAAGGAGTGGCAAACATCCTACCATGAATGTATTCTTGGCTTTTGCAGATTAGTTTTGTACCAGGGATCGAACTCATGACTGCCTGCTTGCAAGGCAGGCGCTTATGCCGCTGAGCTAAATCCCCAGCCCCTGTGGACTAGTTTTAATTTAAAATGAATGAGAGCAGTGAAAGGCTTAGTCTCAAAGTACCATTTATTCTAAATTCTGAAAGTCATCAATAATCCAGTCAGGGCTATCCGCATTACCTGGAGAAGTTCCCAAACTTCTTTGTTCATGGTGCTTTAGCGCTCTCATAATTTTGCCTCTAAGTCAAATAATATCCCTGAGACTTTCATTGAAAAAGCGGTGCTGGTCCAACCGATTTGATGACTGTTTATGTCCTAACAACTGACTTAACAATGGCAGTGCCATCATTCGGGGTGTCTGCTAATTGCTACTCATGGAAATGAGGCTGCAGTTTTCCCATGGAGACCAGGAAACAGTGGCTCTAGCCATCTGATGTTTGCATTTTTAAAGGAAGACATTTCTGGCTGTAAAACTGGGAAGAGCTGAGGAGATCTGTATCTCAGAAAAGCAAAAAATAATCTAAGATTGAACGTTTTCTAAGTGAACCCCCTAAGGAAAGGAAAGTCAGGAACTACAGTCAGCAGGAACCTATCTAAGATGTAACCAAGCTGAGTGAGGTTAAAACCGTATTAGTCCATTACGGGGTTTCAGTGACCAGCAGAAACAGACACCAGTATTTTTTCCTACACTGCCCTAAGTCTCTTTTTAGTTTTTCACTATGACCCTAAGACAAAAATGTATGCTAACTCTTTGGGTCCAAGGACTTAGTAAGTATCTGTGTCCTAATATCTTAGAAACCTTTTGAAGAAGTGATACAAATCTAGAGAGCTATTGTACAACTATATGTAACAAAACTGGACCATATTTGTTAAAGAGTAGATTTTTAGCTGCTCTTACTACAAAAATAAACAAAAAGGTTAGCTATTATGACTATGTTAATTTGCTTCTCTAAAACAACAATGTAATAATTTCTATGCAAACCATACACCCATGTTGTATACACAATAGAATTTATTCATGGAAAACAAATGTGCATAATTCAAAAATATTTTCAAATAAACACGACTATTTAGTAATTGGGCTGTGTACCTTTTGAACACTACATAACTTTTAAAAACTTGGATTTAGATCAGACATTGTCACTCTCCTGTTTTGTTCAATGTCATCTAACATGCTATAGTACTTGATTTATATAAATCAATTATTTAAAAACCAGCTACTCCAAGACAGGTTGCGATGAACAGAAATGTATTATCATCTAATGTGGGAACGGAGCTACCTCGGGCTAGTAAATCACTCTGCAGTAGACAGATGTTGCCTATGACAGTTATTCCTCTTGAAAATTTAAAATAATGTGGAAGCACTTGTGACTTCCATTCAGCACCCTAGAGCACTCTCTGGAACTCATGCGTCTGTCTTATATCCCTCCGTATTTCTAGATCTATAGGCCAAATAATAGATTGTCCTCCCTCACCACTGACTCCATCTCTTTATTCCGTTTTCTGTTAAATGTTCACATAACGTAGTAATTCTGTGTGATGAAATGTTATTTCATGTCAGCTATTGATATTCCTGGCTCTGAGATGCATCCGTGTTATGTCAAACAAGTTTATGTTATGGAAAATAAGGGCTTCTGACATAGCGAGACACATCAAAGGTTAAGCAGCAGCTCCCTGAGAACAGGCTGAAGTCAGGTGGAGTTCATGACCTAGGGCTTAGCTCTGTGGTAAACGGAGCTTAGCACCCAACTGCGTAAGTGTTAGTCGTGTTAAAATGACTTCAGCAGGGTGTGGGTGACACTCTTCTTTCACGTGACCATGGCTGAACCCTTGATGCGATCTAAAGATGACAAATGGGAGTTGTTTCCTCATCTTCTTCTAGGTGTTTGCCTAACTATTGTGAGCACGGAGGTGAATGCTCTCAGTCCTGGAGCACCTTTCACTGCAACTGCACCAACACGGGGTACACAGGAGCCACCTGCCACAGCTGTAAGCCAGATAGATGCACCTGCTCTTCTCACCTGTGGTGATTTCCCCCTGAAACCTCCTCTCCATTGCTACGTGTGTCTGTCTGTGCATGTACAAGCTGGTGTTGGAATATACACCTCCACCCCCACCAAATACCATCGTACTGGGGATTTTCAACATATACATTTATGGGGCACATGGCATTCAGTCTAGAGCACTAAATACTGTTTAAATTTTGTCTCAATTCTTCCTAAAAAAGATGATGAAGGGAAATGGAGTGGGAAATTCTTACACTTTCCATAATAGTTCATTTAGTTGAGCACTTTCTAAGTGCTATTTGTCCACTATTTTACATACTGTAGGTCATTTAGTGCTGATGGCCTCTCTAATAAGTGGGTTCTACCATTATCCCTAGTTAGTGCATGAGGTAATAGAGAGGTAAGCTTGACCAAGGCTGCTTAACTAGTGGAGACAGAGCAAGAATAGCAACCAGAGGAGGAAGTCATGCTGCAGAGCCTGGATCATAACTGATGCTCTTTTCCTGTTTATTAGCCACCTATTTTTTCTAATGCAAAGTTTGTACATGATGTGAGAACTTTGTCGCTTTGTTGTCTACTTATCCATGACCTGTAATCAGGTGACTGAATTACTCACTTTTCATACCATTACTGAATTTCAAGGGAAATCCTGCACCCTAGTGCTAGCTCCTACTGCCTGGCGTGGAACTTAAGAGCTTTAGGTGCAGAGTCAGAAGGTTGGGGCACCCTTAGGACCCAGCATATTGTTTCTTATTCCTGCCCCCATTGGGGGAATGCTGGTCTCCAGCCCCGTGCCCTTCACACAAGACTCTGTGAAGCCCTGGTTCAGGGCTGGTCTCACCAGTGCTGCCAGGGTCCTCACTCAGCTTCACCTGTTTGTACTGCAGAGTCTCGCCAGAGATGGCAAATGTGTGCTGGTAATAAAGGCGCTTTCCACTTGTCACTGCAGCCAAGTACCGGACCTGTGTCATCCAGCAGTGGAGACACGGTCTATTTTAAATTTTATATCTTCCGCTATCCCCATTGTTCTAACTGAAAACTATTGGATACATTTTTATTGATTAATAATTCATTTTAATCATGATCAATGACTCCATCTAAATATAAACACAAACATCTTGCGGTGAAAAATAGATGATAAATTGAAAGATATTTTCTTCTGTGGCCCACACAGTTTGATTCAGTGATTAATTTGTTATTCTCAAATATTTGTTCAAATGAAGCTGATGGTTTTGTTAATAACCATCCTGAGAAGGGAGGCCAGGAAAACAGATCTAGGTACAAGGAAGAGGCAGAGCCAGTATGGTAAAAAAGCTTTATCAGGGAACAATACATTAAATAGTCATGTTATAAAAATTCAAGCAGGACACCTAAAGCAAAAGTCCTTCTGGTTACCTTGATCCACTCATGTATCCTTTCCAGTGTCAGTCTCCACCCCAGTTGTGCGAGCATCTTTCAGCTTCTTTCAAGACCTTTCTGAACGTATGTGTGTGCATTTGGAGATGATCAACGAACCATTTTACACACCCATTTTAGTGCACAAAATGAAAATATAATGAAAGTGATCTGTATTTTTAACTATGTAATGCATAACAGGAACAAAATAAAATCATCAGATTATAGAGAAGTGAAGTAAATGCCCAAGATTGTTTGAAAATTTTGTAGCATTGAACGTGCTAGCCATAATGTTTCATGTTACCAAAACATTTATTAGCATAATTTTCAGAAATTTAAAATAGATTCAGGAAATGTTTTCCCAGGGACTATTTCAAATTTCACAGAAAAAAATCTGAATGCATGTTGTTAGTACATTTGGCTAAATAGTCAATGAAAGAAGGATATTATACATGGAAAATAAATATAGTACTTGTACTGTAAAGCGCATTTAGTGATGTATCAAAGCACATTGAGACTACTGGTGGGCATATTTCACATACATATTTCTTTTGCTCTAAAGTTTAATTATCTGGTGTTCTGGTTACAGAGCATTACCTAAATATCTTCTGTAAATTACTTTTAAAATTATTGATGATGAGCTTCGACTCATCTTTGTTCTATGAAAAAATACACTTACCTCTAGTTCATTTTATCTGAGGAAGGTGTATGCTGACTTTACATAAAATGTTTCTACTACATAATTATTAGATGACAGCAGTTTATTTAAGATTACACTATTGTGCTTCAAATGTTAGGCTATTACAAGGTGATACTAGCATTAGAAATTCCAAAACTGTTGTCATAAAGGATCAGATTGTACTTAAAAGATGCTTAACATTTAAATAATGGCCTTCCTCTCTTATGTTCTTCCTAATTTAAAATTAGGCTAAATTTTTCTTCTGATGAAACAAACTCATTTTCCTTTAGTGATGAATCATAAAATGCAGCCTCATTCTTCTTTTTTTCTATCTTATCATTTTGTGTGTACATGGATTTAAAAAGAAAAGAAGAATTTTTCTATTGTAAAGTACAGATTTCCCCCCTCTCCTGTGGCTACTGATGTACACGCCATTCCTAAAATTCAAGAGCTTTATTTTGTACTCTTTCATTATGATGATCCTTTTCTTGTTTGTTTTTCACAGCTATCTATGAGCAGTCGTGTGAAGCTTATAAACACAGAGGAAATACCTCAGGGTTTTATTATATAGACTCTGACGGAAGTGGTCCTCTGGGACCATTTCTTCTCTATTGCAATATGACTGGTAAGATAATCGACTTTTATATAATAGTTCAATGTGCATGAACACTTTAAATATGCAAAATTAAAATGAGCTAAGTAGGAAATTGATCTAATTTTGCAACTTGATTAAAATGTGTATTGTTCAGTAAAACAACTGAGCATAACTCTTTAAAACATGAGTTGATGATAACGATTTAAAATAATGTCATTTTCTATGCACCTGTTATCTGTGTAGAACATCTACATATGACATAATAAATGTTTTCTATTATATCCTAAAGCAAAATAGCTTTTATGTGTTAGAGCAGATTGATACACATAAAAGCTCTGAGAAATATTTACTTTTTAAAGGTATATAAACATGAAGCTTATATTCTAGTATTTTTTATTTATGTAAATGCGCATAGGTATTAGCAGTCATGGAAACTGTGTTTGATGAAATTCAGTATTTATTCATGATAAAAAAGATAACTATATTACCAGTAGAATTTCTTTAATTTGATAAAGTACCCACAAAATTATAGCACATGTAAATTTATAGTGAAGTACTGAAAGTTTTTTTTCTGCTATGAGCATTAGTGTGCTTCATACATCATTGAAGTTCAGGCTTAGCCAACACAATAATGCAAGGGAACAAAGTAGAAAAACATAAATATTGGAGAAAGACTTATAACTCATGTTATTTCTAGGTGCCTAGGTAAGGTATGGGAAATCATTAAGGAGATTTCCTTGAAAAAGTAAAACTAGAAATTCCATTTGACTCATCTGTTCCCTTCTAGGTATCTTTCTAAAAGAGTTAAAGACATCACATTACAGTGATGCATGCATACTCATGTTTACAGCAGCACCGTTCATTATAGCTAAACCTTGGAAGTGCTTTTGTGTTCATCAGCAGATGAATGGATAAAGAAAATGTGGTACTGACACATGATAGAATATTACTTTGCCATAAAAAAGATAAATTTGAGCCTTTTGTAGGAAATGGATCACCTTGATATCATACTGTGAAGTGAAAGAAATCAGACACACAAGCTTAAATATTGCATGGGTTTCCTTATATGAGAAGCTCAATTATAAATAAAGAGTAAAGTAAAAGATAGTAGCTAGTATGGAAATTGGTCTTTCTCAAATTGGAAGGGAATTAAGAGATGAAAGAAAGAGAATCAGGGAAAGAGGGTGACAAAAGGAATTAAAATGTGCTCTGTATACGTACCAGCTCCACATAAGGATTGGAAACATAGATACATAAAAATTTTAAAAGAATATTTGAAATGAACTGCAGCAAATGATTACAATTTTAAATTACCACTGGATACAAAATCAATACAAAATTAATTTCATTTATATATGCCAGCAGTAAACAATTAGAAAATATTTTAGAAGTTTGCATTTTCAGCAGCATCAAAAATCTCAAACACATGTAACAAATGTAATAAAAGATATACAAGGTCTTTACACTGCTAAGTGCAAAACAGTACTGAAATCTATTGTCACCCTATATAAGTTGAGTAATACAAAATTTTCATTAATTGAAAAAGGTAACATTATAGAGCATCACTTTTTCCAAACTTGATATTGATTTAATATAAACGTACATTATAATCTAGCAGGATTTTCATTTGTAGGTTATTGTGATTATTGTGAAAATGGGTAAGCATCCTAAAATATCCAAGCAGATGTAAAGGGCTAAGAAGAATCAAGTCAGTCTTTAAGAGCAGAATTGAAGAACTCAACTCTATTAGATTTAAAGACATTATACTGACAGGCTAAATAGAACAGTGTACAGTTGATAATGAAGTCAGTGAATACACCAGTGAAACAAAATAATGTCTAAACAATTTACTCATATATGGAGAATTATTTTTTGCCAAGGTGATAGGGTGTGCAGTGAAAGCAAAATGATCTTGTCAACCGGTAATACTGGGGGAAATAAAATATACAAACCAAGTAAAGAAAACTTAATTCATTCCTTCTCAAACCCAAATAGTGAATTCTAATTGAACTATGCTGTCCAATAAAGCAGCTGCTTGCAGCAAGTATTTATTTAAATTTTAATTTGATTGAATTAAATGAATTTCAAAACATTTTAAAATTCAAACAAATAATTTAGCCAAAATAAGATTAGAATGAAACGTGGAGCGCCTGGCTCTCCTTGGCCCCCTTTTAACTGCTCAGTGGCTTCTTGTGGCTGATAAGGATGGTACTATTTACTGATCATCACTGGTGTAGAACATTTCCATCATTGCGGAAAGTTACTTTGGACAGTGCTGTGCTAGTGAGTCCAAGTTTTATGGAGCAAAACAAAAAGAAAAGGGCGGTATTAGACTGAGGCAGGCATTGTGGTAGAGGATGACTTGCTATTCAGAATCTGGGAGTGACTAACTGGAGAAAGAGTCTGCCAGGAAGGTGCAATGGCAAACGGCAATTCCTGAGAGGGATAATCTTGTCAAATGTGCTCAGAAAAGAGCAACAAATCCAGGCTAGCCGGGTGCGGGAGTAAGTGGCAGGAGGAGAGAGTCTAGTAGGGAGAGCAGGGAGGGGAAGAGTCGTGGTTCTTACAACAGGGTGGTAGAGTTTTTGGCTTTTTGCTTTGTATGCAATGAGGAGATGTTAGGGGTGTTTTAAGCAACTGTGGGTGCAATCTGATTGCCTTTAATGGGATCACAATGGCTCCTGTGCTGGGAAATGCCTATCCAGGAGCAGCACTGCAGAGAAATGAGGAGATGGTGCATTCAGAATAGGAGTTAGGAAAGCTGTTAGGAAACCATTTAAAGTAATGCAAAAGTCCAGGGAACAGCTGGGTACCGTGGCTTCTTGCCCTGAATAGTGTCTATGCAGATGGGGAAGGAAATTAGAGCTGCACACGGAAATAGCTGTAAGATGTCAGAAAATGCCAGTTTTTGGTTTGGACAGCCAGAGAGTTTGAATTGCTGTTATTTGAGGTGTAACCAGAAAGGTTTGAGGGGAAAAGGCTTGAGTTGCAGATGTGCGGGGAGTATTCAGATACAGTGCTAAGCAGGCAGCTGGATACGGAGCAAGACTTCCTTTGTGTTTGATTCATTCTAAAACCACAAGGTGGTAGTATAGTCTAGGGCACCGATTCTTGCTTTCTTTTTTTCCTTTGTTTCTTTCTGTGTGGGGGAAGGGTTCATTACAGAATGTGTCTTTAGAAATTTGCACATCATGCACTTGATGGTCCTATTAACACAATTATTGAGGAAACTGCCAAAACAACCTAAAACATTCCGTGGTTCCCACATGTTTGTCTTCTAATGAAGCTCCGCAGTCTGCAGGACACAAATTCCCAGTCAGCACCTTAGGAGCTTCAGCCTCAGGCGACAGAGGGGGGTAAGGAAAACAAGGTCTTAAACAGTCGGTCTTCCTGAGTGGTTCCAATGTGCACACTGGTTTGAAGTTTCTGATTCTGTGATTTTTGTGTGTACAAATGGCTTTGCTAAGTATAATAAATTGAAAAGACTTCACAAAGAAAAAAAGAAAGCTTTGTCGCTGGGGGGATGACAAGAATGTGCCACCACATGCCTGTCATCCCACCACTTTGGGAGACTGAGGCAGGAGGATTGCCATTGAATTTGAAGCCAGTCTGGGCTACAGTGAGCTCAAAGATAGCTTTAACTATACTGAGACATTGTCTCAAAAAGGAAAGCTTTGTCATGGTAAGACAGAAATTCAAGTGTCAAAGAATTCCTATTCAGATAGGTTGGATAGGGGTGAAATTTAGCAATTTACCACTGCAAACCTGTGAAGCAAGTAGGCAGATTCTACGCTGCCAATAATGTATCTTGGGTTACTCATGTACACATGTAATACCAAGTTCTGCTTTGAGAATTAGATAGCTCTAAGTTGATAACAAACTCTAGTCTTTAAAGCTTTAAGAAACATACACACAAAGTTGATGCTCCTTATTTGCAGTAATTATGCTCTATAAAGTCACCATGGCCACTGGATTAGCAAATACTAAACTTTGGTTCCTAATCAGAAATACAGTAAGACTAGATGCCTTTGCTCCTCTAGTGACAACGTCTTCATCTATCATTACTTCATCTTGTTTCATGTGTAGTTGATATGAAAGACACTTTATCTGATATGCACACATAGGTGTAGGACTCATTGACTTTGAAATCACCACCAAATCCTTGTGTATCAGTCCTGAAGGATGCTTATCTAATGTACATCAGAGCCTTTTTATACTCAGGAGCCCTCAACAACACCTCAGGAGTACCAGATGTCCATTTCAACTAACTAAAACATCAACCTGAAGCATAAAGCCATGAAAAATGTGCTACAAAATAGACACAAATAGGATATTGGTTTACAAATTGAGAGTTGAAGCACTAGACAGGTCACCCCCTCGTTCAGCTTCAGCTGGGATCATGTTTATTGGATACACATATTTTTTGCTGCTCTGTGCATGTCTTCAAATGACTGCAAAAATGTTGGAATTAGAAATATGTTTTAGCGAGTAGGCAAATTCATGAATGAAGAGAGCTGACTATCTATCTGTCTCTTATATTTACTATGGGTAATAATTCAGTAATGTATCGGCCCTGTGTAACTTTCTGAATTGCATCTGCAAATCGTTAAGGGCAGAGACACAGATAATCTCCTCTGAGACATGACATGTGTCTAGAAGCTCTGGAATATCAAAACATAGTCAAACACGAGTGACAGCTCCAGAGCATATCAACCTTAGGTGTTATAGCTTCAAACTCACCTCATATGTCAGGCTTTGCAAATGAGGAAAACTAGATTCAGAGAGCAGAAGGACAGCAGGATAAGACTATGAGAGGAGATGGGTAGGTTAGGATATGTGCCCTTGGTCTCTTTTCTCCCCATGTGAAGGCTTTCCCACAAGGAAAGGTACCTTTGATTAAGGTCTCATTACTTGTATCTTCTTGTTACTCAAATCAGTGTAGCAATCATGAAACTAAAAAAATGCTGACTCAGTAACTTGCAAACGTGTACCCCGTATAAAAAAATATAAACCTAGAATTAGTGTCTTTCAAATGATTTTGCATAGATTAAAATGTCTCTAAGCATTACAAGCTAAACAATATAAACAAAAAAATCTATTTTGAATGGGTAATTTTCCAAACTATGGTAAAGACTGAAATTTCTTTGTGAATAGAATATTCTAAATATAGTTTAAAACTACTTAGGATAAGATGAATCCCAGTGATGGTCTTCATTGAGATATAGAGGTTTGTTTTCTCCTATACTAACCTCACTGCTTTTTCTGTAATGTGAGAGTTTTATGTTCAAGAAATTTTCCATCATCAAACATTGCATTGTAAGGACAATTGTTACAGTGGGGAGGAAGTGATGAGCACTATAACAGTGGCTTTTAAATGTAGTGAAAATGGAAATTCTCTGCCTTAAATTTACCACTTCCCGCTACACCATTACTGAGATGCCTGAGTTTACTTTCCCTGACTCAGTAAATTTAGAGACTAAGGTCCAAGCCTCTGCATTATTAACAGACACCCCATGTGAGTCTAGCATCAGACATGTAACATAGTTATCTCTACTGATTTCAATATGAAAGGCTTCTTAATGGCTAAGAAGTGAAACACAAACTGAGTATTCTGATGTCCCATGTGCTCTGCTCACTCTTTTTCTCTTTCTTCTTCCTGCCTTACTTAGTGTAACTCTTCCACCTGTTCTTCAGGTCTTTATCACATCTGTCACCCTCAGCTATTAAGCATGAAGCGACCCAGCTTTGCAACTAACTGTGTTGCTTAAACAGCACATTTTTTCTTTATGCCGTTATCACACTAAAAAATAGCAGTCAGCCTAAGGTAAATCAAATTCTTAATTACTCAGTAGCTTTATTTACAATTCATATTATTAGAAATCTCTTCAGGGAAAGACACCAGTAAGTCCAAATTACTATCCTATTTTTTAAACTTCATAGATTTTTCTGTCTTTTTCAGCAATCTCTTCTTATTCATTTCCCTGTGTCTCCTTCGCCTACAAGTCTTGTTGCATTTAGTAAAGGATAGTTTTCAAGAAAGCAGAATCATGACTTTCATACAAATACGAAAGTAAGTTCTTAAATACATATTTTAGAGAGATTTTAATTTATTATTGATGAAGAAATTGGTAAGCTTTTAAGCCAGTTCAAAGGAGAATCCAAAGAACTGAGACATGGATGCCCGAGGAATATTGGAATGACACCTGTGCCTGGCAGAAGCTGCTTGCTTATGCAAAAGAATTACTAACTTGTAGGAAACTAATGCCTTTTTTTAAAAAGCAAAGCAAAGCAAAACAAAAAAACAACAAAGAACCTCTGAAACCCCACAAAACTGCAAGCAAACAAAAACTAAAATGCAAAGCAATTCTACTGACTTAGGTGAAAGGATGATTAAATGTAAATGTGTTTCAGAAGTCAAAGGTAGTAAATTCTCCAGGGAGATTTAAGGGCCTATCTCCCGCAGATGCCCTGCCTACTTCCTGAGGAATAATAAAAGCCTAAGAGCTTGTACCTCTTCCCCTTACATGCATGGAAATTTGTTACCTTCTAGAGGGAAATTCTCTCCTGACTCTATGGAGGGAGCAGGTACTCGAGCCGTGCTGTCAGCACCAGGTCTCCCAATGCTGGCTGGCTCTCCAGGGTATGAGGACGGTATGCAATGCTGGGCACACCTGGCATGATTCTATCAGCCTCTAGTCCATGCCACAGAGAATCCTTGTAAGTGAACAGTCTGTCCAAAGCTCCTGTGTCGATCAGGTAGGTAGATAAACAGAAAGATAGATACCCAGTGCCAAGTAGATATAATCTGTATGTGATACAGGACAACCTGTGACATTACACGTAGAGTAGCATCTCATTCCCTCCACAGTTTCAGACTTTATTTTGCAATCTTATAGATGAACTATAAGTGAGAGTTATAAAATAATGTAATGTCAGTAAAAGTTTCACAGCCATCATGGATCAGAATCTGGTAACATGGGAGGATATGCTGGCATCTGGGCACCGTCTTGTTTTTATTGATTTGTTTGTTTATTTCTTCATTGCTCTACCTTGTATCTTCTGCATGTTTTGCCAATCCTTTGTGCTACTGGCAGGAGATGCCATGGTTAACGTGTCAGAAACTGCTGGATACGATGGTCCACGCCTGTGATCCAAGCACTCTGGGAAGCTGAGGCAGAGAGACTGAAGTTCATACTTCTTAGCTCAGGAAACCAAGTGACTTAGCAAGCCCTATTTAAAAGAAAAAGAAAACAGAAAGGGCTGGGAATATAGGTTAATGCAGAGGCCCTGGGTCCAATCATAGTAACACACACCTACACACACCCACACACGCTGCATATCAGAAACTATCTCATAGTGAGAGTAATAAAATCACAAAACATTGTATTACGAGGTATGATAAAGTAGTTGTTCCATGCTTCCATTGCTCAGAATCTCCTGTGATGATTTCATGGCATCTGCCCTGGAAATCTAGATTGTCTGACCATCTTTTTAAGTTTGTAATGTTTTAACTAGAAAATCGAATTGCTTAAAGAAACTATAGTGATATTGAAGTATGTTAGAATGTCCGAAAGAAACATTTCTATGAGCTGCCTTTTAATGGTTGCCATGCACTGTGGCCTTGAGTTTCTCATCACGTCCTAAAAGCCCTTTAGACTCCTGTGTTAATTGTGATCCCGTGGATGCTAAACTGCAGAGAAGATTCTCCCAAAAGGCACAGAGACAAAGGCCTCAAGCTGGCTTATTGTCTTGCTCTTTGGGCAGCTACTGGCCCACACCACTGAATCACCGCAAGACAAGGTGAGCTGTTCTGCTCAGGAATACAAGGAAAATCCAGCAGAAATGAGGCTGACAGATTTGCCTTTTAATAATAACCTTAAACTTCCAACAGCCATAGCTGAGCTGGCTGAAGTAGAGAGTTTCTGACCTACTCTTTCGGCCAGTTCTGCCAATTTATTTTCCAAGTTTGGCAAGCGAGACTCAGATTTAACTTGACTTTTCTAAGGACACGGATGCATGCCAGGTCCACAATCACATCTCCTGATGGCCTCTACCTTGTCCTGCTGGACACCCAGAATTCATTCCATTAGTTTATAGTTCATGTCCCCTTTGAGAAAAGCGTCCTACTGACAAAGCTCCAGGGCAGCCATGGCGAACCTTTTAGAGCTTTCAATGATGCAAACAGCACACTGCAACATGTGTGACATAGGTTCACCGCCACTGCTCTGGGCTGAACTGGAATGCAAGAAAGAAATAAAAATACCAGCTATGGCTTCCGAGGAAAGCAACAGTCTACACACAGAAGGCGATAAGCCTTCCCCATCTTTGGTAGCTAACCTCGGCCTCCAGATGACTGAATGAGGGTGGGAGTGAACCTTTGCAGGCAGTCTCCTCATCCCATTTGCATGGTTGAGTCCTGTGAATGTCAGTTAAAGAGAGGTGAAAAAGGTCTATGACTTGTTCGCTTCCAATTTGCAATATTTCCCTGTACCATAGACAAGTTATGATTTTAAACAGTGCATACGGAAGAGATTTTTGACAATTCCTACTCTGTGACTTATTAGACCAGAGGCCTTTCCATTAATCTGTCCTGTGCCTGCCTACACTGGAGCAAATACAGCATGAAAAGGGAAAATTGAGGATGGGTACAAACACATGCATCTTCTATTACACACACTGTGGGATTTTAATTTCTGCTAAGTAATTCTGGGATTCAGAATGATGGAAAGGTTTGTCCACACTCAGGTACCAGTAGTGGGAGCTCTTTACATTCAGTGTTAGCTGAGTTGCTCTGTCCAGTGTGCTCATTTTCAAAGACTAGCTTCCCACTGGACTGTCAAACTACACAGATCGCATGGCACTAAGATGAATAGTTGAAAATTTGATTTAAAGAGAAATAGATGTATGCTCACTTAAATGTCGACATAAGAGAGAGGGCAGTATATATGAAAACTTGATTTTCTTTTTGCCAGTAACATAAAAACTTTGTAAGAATAAAAAAGTGATTGCTTATATGCTGTAATACAAGTTATTTCAACATTTACAGTGTGCATCTTTTCTCACATTGTAACATCACAATCAATAATGTCTTGCAATTGTAATAGGCAGCACTTCCCTCTCTTAAAGGAAGACAAAATAATGATGCCTCTTTTAAGAAAAGATAAAATATCAGACTTGATGAAATGAAATGTTTCACAAAAATATAGATTTTCTCATAGTTTCCATCATAAATATTGCCTCTCTAAATAAAATGAGAAGAAAATAAAATCACTGTAAATGCGTGGTGACAGCATACATTTCAGGGAAAAGAGCTGCTTTACTGTAATTTAAGATTTTTGAAGATCCTTTGTGTTGAGTCTGCTTCTCAGAGAGGTTAGATGACTAGACAAATTTGACTCAGATAAGAGGTGACTTTGATTTTCTTTATTTATTTTAACTTTTGCAGACTAGTGATGGTCTCCTCTCTTTCTTCCCCCATTTCTGCATACAAGAAACTGCATGGGCCATCATACAGCACAACGGCTCTGACATAACAAGAGTCAGAAACGCTCATCCAGAGAACCCGTATGCTGGCTTTTTCGAGTACACGGCCAGCATGGAGCAACTCCAGGCCACAATTAACCGTGCAGAGCACTGCGAGCAGGAGCTGGCTTACTACTGCAAGAAATCACGGCTTGTAAATCAGCAAGGTAAGTAAACTGAGGCCTCTGTCCCACTCTATATGGTGCACAGCCTGCTCACTCAACCAGCTCCTGAGGATTTCAGCTCCACCGAAGGGCTGCGTGCTTAGCAAACATGTCACAGTCTGGAAGTCACTTTTGCCTGGAGAAAAGAACAAGGTCAATTTGCATTGAGCTTTGTTCAAAGCCCTGATTGCTTTCAGACTCTTCTTCTGGCCCTAATGGGATAACTGTACATTATGTACATTATTCTGATCCTCTGCGAATGCTCGGGGTTTATCCTTATAAAGGGCAAGTGACACCTAAGCTTCATTTTATCATGGAAAAGAGCTAATACAAATATAACTCCATTCCTGAAAGTGTCTATTCTGCATGGCTCTTTTTCATGAATTGTTGACAGTTTGCCTGTGGGGATAATTGAAAATTAGAAAAGGCTGCTGCTGGGAACAGTTTGATTCAGTAGCTCAAGAAGAAATCAGAAAACCAGTTCTTTTGTGTGTGTGATATTGGGGATCCAAAGCAGAGATCTCCTATTCCTGAGCTACACCCTCATCTCCTGTTATGTTTATTTTGAGACAGAGTCTACTAAATTTTTTAAATTGACCTTGAGCTTGCAATTCTTCTGCCACTGTGTCCCAAGTAGCTAAAATCACACGTGTGTGCCACTGTGCCTGGAAAGAAAAAAAAAAAAAAAAAAAAACCCATCTTACCACTTTCTTTCATTCTCCCAAGAACAAGTTTCCTAAATTCTGTTTTAGAGTTTTCATTTTCTTCCTTTAGAATGTCTCAAGAGGTCAGGATATCTCAGAGTCCTGCTTTTCTGCCCTAGAGCAGGTCCTATCCCGTATGTGTGACCTTGTCCTTGGACAAAGTGCCCGGCTTGCCATTTCGCCGTATCTTCTATCCCTGCAATATATAACCCAGAATATTCCTCTTCATGAAGGAAGTTAACCTTTAGAAAACACTGCTTCCTTCATGACTGTCCTCTATTCAAGAAGCGCTCACACCTTCTCCTGCTAAACTTGTCCGCCACAGACCTTCTGCTTGGGGCCAAGGGCCGTGTGTGCTGGTCTGACCCACCGGAGCAGCCCTCACCTCTGTCCCATAACACTGTTTTCTAGTATTGATATTTTGGTACGTTTTTGTTGAGATATTAGAGAAGATTTTAAGGCATCTGTGCAATAAAACAACTTCATTGGTGTTTTGTGCAGTTCTAGGACTACAGTTCCACATAGAATAATAAGAATATTTTAAAAATGTTTCCTATGAATATTATGTCATATTGATCACCCATAAAAATGTGGAGCTTTTCATGTGGCATTTGAACCTTTCATTTCCATTTAAGCATCTCTCTTATTTATTCTCCACCCACTAAATACTAGATTGTTTTCTCTCCTGTACCAGAGCTGCCTCCCATCCCCGCCCCCACCTTTTTCAGCATAGCCTCATATGGTCTTTGATCTCTCCAATCTCACCTTTGCTTGGCCCATCATAAATCTCCTCTCCCCCTAAGACTCAATCCTATCTGTGGATGAGGATCAGACAGCAGCAGCGCAAAAGTTATAAGGTTTATGGGTAGGGAGAGAGGTAGCTTCAGGCTCCAGGTCATTTGTTTTCTAGATTTGGAACTTAGATGAATCTTTGCTTTGTCAAATGAATGAATGGCTCAGTCATTAATCTCTGTCTTTGCCTTCTCTCCTCTGAAATGGTGCCAATAAAGCCAGTCTCACAGGGTTGTCGTGATGATTGGCTAGCATAGCTCACGCAGAGTGTGCAAGTGAGCTCCTCTTGTTTTTAGCTCTCCAGAGCAGTGTGATTATAGTTTGGAATTAATTATTCACTGTTGCTGAATACTTATCTTATTCCACTTGTTGTGATCTTCACTGTGTTCATCCTTGTCATAAATGGCAGGATTTTCTTCATTTTTAAAAGCTGAAATATATATATATTTCTTTATTCTCCCATCAGTAGACATTTAAGTTCTATCTGTATCTGGGCTGTTATGAATAAGGCTGCGATAATTATGGGAATCTCTTTGAGATAACGGAGGACCTTGTGCTAAGTGAAATAGGCTAAACACAGAAAGACAAATACTTTATCCATAATCTTATTTTCATGTGAAATCTAAAAAAGTTGAATGCATGGAAATAGACAGTAATAGAGTGGCGAGTGAGGGCCAGAAGTGGAAGAGCGTGAAGCTGTTGGCCAAACAGTACAAACTCGTAGTTGTGGTTAACAATAATGTACTAAAATATTAGGACTGAAAGAATAGTGGAGAGCTTGGTCGTCTGCCCCCTACCACAGAAACTCTGTGAAGTGATGGAGGTGATGGTTGGCAAGACATGATTGGTAAATCATGTCACAGTGAGTATGTACCTCAAAGTTCCTTGTGACACACACGATATGTGAATGTATACAATTTTTGCTCGTCAGTTTTACATAATTGAGCTGAAAAAATGAAACAGAAGGAAAGTCAATAATCGATGTCATGAGCCCAACGGTAATGGAACCAGGAAACAAAATGCCCAAAGAAATAGGGAACCAGTACCACACAAATTAAAGTGATAGTAAGCATGAAAACCTGTCAGCCTTGTGGCCAGGGGGACCCATGGATCTCCTAAACTCTTTGAGCCAGGCTGGAGAACCCTTGGTAAAGGCAGCAGTAAACCCCAAAGGCCAAGGGATGGGGGATATCACAATGTTAGCACTGAGTTTTCCTCAGCTTGATGAAGCTCACGTTCCTTTGGGATGTGAGGTGCAGGCTGAGGTAGAAAGACTGAAAGGGATAAAACAATTGAGATTTGGAGGTCGCAGTAAGGAATATGGGGAGAAGAACAGGAAGGTGGCGTTAGAGCTAGAGTTTCAGGTCTCAGTACACTGGCTGTTTCAAATGTGAGGAGGATGTAGCTGCAGATATAATGGAATGCTATAAAAATATGCTATCATTAGCTAAGGATCCATGCGTCAGCACAATGGAAAGATGATTATTGGGCTCTTCAAATCAGTTAGGGTTTCAAAATGGAAAATGATAATGGAAATGGAAAATATCTGATCACCAGCATTTTAAAATTTTAATTTAAAATTTTAATTTTACATGACTTTAGAAATTAGTACTCTTTAAAAAGTTTTGGATGTACCCAAAGTATGTGATCACTAAAATATTTAGGAATCTCTACGATATAGGAAATTTAGATAAAAATGTATGATTTTGTACTCAGAAATCATGATTTCTTTTCTATCTCTGAACCTATGCAGTGTGATCGAAACACGATGTTAAATATTTATTTATACTTTATTTCTAAAAATGGTACAGCAAAAGAGTCATTGGCATTAATCCCCCTTGAAATATCCTCTCTCACTTCTAATTCACTTCGTTATTTTTCTTGCTACTTTTCAAACTATCTGGAGTGTCTTAGGGGAGTGTCTTAGTCTTGTTGGTCTACCTGCCTCAAGGTCGTGAATCAGTTCATGTATTTACTTTTCATGGTCATTTTGACTTTGGGGAAGAGCCAGAAACCACACAATGTCAGGCCTGTGAATAGTGGATGAGGGTACGTTGCAATGTTTTAAACATCTGACTGATGAAGGGTGAATGAAAACTATGGTGATTGTTTAAATAAATAAAAATATTTATTACAATAAAAGAAACATGGTCATTAATCCTCCTGAAGATACTCAGGATATTCCCCCTCACTTTGAGGACTCCTATCCCATCATTCTTGGCAATGTGTCTTCTCCTGTGATAAGCTGTTCTTAAAAAATTAGTCATTGACTATTTTTAACCACCCCTTGTAATCTTTTCAACTGCACATTAAGATATATTAGGTATATTTTCCAGACTTTTTGGTAATGAGTTAATCATACAAATGCAAATATGAAAACTCAATATTAATACTTTTATGTATAGCTCATGCTTCCAATTTGCTTGTTTGCTTTTTCTTTTTTTCTTTACATGGCTGGAAAGCCAATCTATGAGGAGAGACAGTGTCAGCATTAGCAAGGGCCATCTAGTAGTAGGTTAAAATGAACACTGACATTTGGAAGTAAGGGCAGAAATTAGTAAAAGGACCAGATTCTCAGTGGGGCTGATGAGGACCATTTAAAGGTTTGAAAGTCAGCATAAAATGATCACACATCTCTGAGGAGGTGATGGATCTGATGTTCCAGTCTTCTTGTGCCCTGATTCTCTAGTGTCTATGCTTTTTCCCTGTATTTTTTTCCTAAGACATAGTGCCTACATGCCTCAGTTCCTTTTCTACAAATCCTCGCCTAAATGTTCTGTCTATTCCTTGGTTGAGCTCCTTGGCATCATCTTTAGTCTAAACTCTGAGAAGGAGCTGGTAGCTGAAGATTCATCATCAAAAAAGATGCATCTGGCTAAGGGAACTTTTTTTAGTGTAATATTAGCTGGAGGCATGAAGATCTTTCAGTGTTCTTTCTGTAGCCTCCAAATAAATAGCCAAGACTTTAAGTGGAAGAGAAAACACAGGCCTCCAAATAAATCTTCAATCACGATGAGGGAGCACCATGCCAGGCCTAATGTTTAATCAACAGTTGGTACATTTTAGTCAATAAATAAATGAGAAAAATCAGTGCCTTTATGTAACATTTCATAATGTTTTAATGGTACATTTCATGATTTTAAATCAATTTGGCTTTGTTAATAATTGCATTTCATATTTTGATATCCATGTGTTCCAGAAATTATTTTTAAAGAAATTGCATATATGAACTGCTCTCAATACATTTTTTAATGATAGTGCTTAAATTAAACTGAAATTGCCAGTTTCTTCTCGGCTCAAGGAAAAACGTATCTAAAACTAAATGATGTTAAATTGTTTTTCAAAAAAGTCATCAGGAAATGCCATCAATTACAGCGTTGAGCGTATCTTTATATCGCATCAATCTTTCTTCTTTTTAATGATTCAGGAAGGAAGGTCTTTATGCTGGCAGGGAAGCAGATGTTACATTTCTCACATTTGTCTTTCAGACGGAACTCCTCGGAGCTGGTGGGTCGGAAGAACTAACGAAACACAGACTTACTGGGGAGGCTCAGTGCCTGACCCACAAAAATGTACTTGTGGCTTGGAAGGGAACTGCATCGATGATCAATATCACTGCAATTGTGATGCTGACCGGAGTGAATGGTGAGGGTCTCTTGATTTCCTTTTTCAAGATAAAACAATCCCTCTGTGCATGCATACCAGCGAGTCCAATGAAGAAATAAACAAAGATAGCTTTTGGGGGATGTGGTACGGTTTAATCCTGAATGCTAATTAAATTCAAAGCCCTTTTGAGTATTTTTAAGTGACCATAAGTCATGTCCATTTTATTTGCTTAGTAGAAGAAAATAGAGGAATCTGTTATGTGTGAGTCACTTATTCTTTTTACAACAGTGTGTAACTAGGTGTTCCTTCATTTTTGAAATATATTTAGAGCCAATTACCAAAGCATAATTCATCAATAACCTGTGAAGGTTGTGCTTTAACTATGTACCTGTAAAAATAATAATGAAATCCTCAAGGAAAAATAACAAAATTCAGACTTTATAACATATGTAATATCTAGAATATTGCCATTTATGGAATATTTCAGTAGAATAGTCTACTTTGTTCTAAAGTCAAGACAAACTCTGGGATGCTGAAGAAAAAAAAGGAGCAAGCAAACATTTTAAAGCAACTACTATTAACATGTTTAAAGATGTAAAGGTAACACTGAGGATTGAGCTCAGCAGATACAAGTGCCTGCCTGGCAAGCGTGAGGGTGTTAGTTCGATGCTGGTACAATAAAAAACATAAAAGTGAAAATAATTATAGTAAATGAAGACAGAATTTTAAGCAAATACGTGAGAACTATGTTAGACAATAAGATATAAATTTTAGAATATCAAAGTACAATATCTGAAATGAAAACTTTAAGAGATTCTCTAGGCTTAACAGACATTCAGAAGAGTATTAAGTAGTCTGGAAATTATAACCATGCTGACCAATACAAAAACCTGGTGTTTAAATTCTTTTTTTTTATTACCAAAATAAAATTCGTTATTTAATTATATTGCATGGTTTATAACAGCTAGGTTTAAATACATGAGATAATTAACATACAAAACAAGTATGTGAGTGAAGGAGTATTGAATACACTAACCTACAGCAAGCTTCTGATGTTTTAGAATGTTAGACAACATAGAATGTAAGTGACCCAGGGTAAGTGAAGGATTAATTTTGTAATTTGTGAAGTAAGCATTAAAATATAATGAACAGACTTTTAGCCAGAAAGGTAACAGAGAAAATACAGTTAAATTCAAAACAATATGCAGGAGACCAACAAAAAACATCCAAGAGTAAAAAGAAACACAAGAATCTTCTGAGAAAAACCATTAAATGGAGAAATGTTAGATCTACGTGCCTAGGCTCGGCCAACACATGGGATATTCACGAATTAACCATTTCAGTCAACAGGTAGATGGAGGGGGACACTAAAGCTTAAAATCTCCACCTGTATTCGAGATTTATATTATTTTAGATCTGACTTGCATTTTATATCCTATGTTTCAATGTCTGCAAGAGATGTTAAGATGTTAGCTTATTCTATACTCTCACATGAGCAGTTGGACGCATTCTCTGGTGAATGTGCAAATTTACCTTCCAACATCTTGGTTTTGAAATGCAAGGAAAATTATTATTTATTTTAGAATTATATTAATCAGAATCATTTTAGGAATTGTTTTGTTGATTTTTTTTTTTTGCTGTTTGTTTATTTTAGGACCAATGACACTGGATTCCTTTCTTATAAAGAACATTTGCCAGTAACTAAGATAGTGATTACAGACACGGGCCGGCCACACTCAGAAGCAGCTTATAAACTCGGGCCTCTACTGTGTCAAGGAGACAGTAAGTGGTGACAGTGTTTTGTGAATATGCCTGAGGAAAACAACGTTACCGAAATATTATGATTGTCCTATCACAGGACAATCGATCAGACCTTTACTGTTAAAACACCTTAGTACTATTGGAAATTTTCCTTCAGTCAGTGTACAAACCTGTACCTCCATGAAATGCAAAATCTGTAATAAACATGGAAATAGCAGATGCTCATAGACTTCTGGGAGAAACCACTAGGACTTTCAGCTTTATTGGTTCTGCAATTACATTCAAGTATTTTGAATTTCCACATATTATTATTTACCTAGGCAAGCCTCAATCCTGTACCAAATCATTTAGAATTCATATGAATTTCCTACTGTTGGGTCTGGGTTAAATGAAAGCATAAGTGAACTCAAAAGTCAACTTAATTATTTCAACATTTAATTTGTGTGTGTGTGTGTGTGTGTGTGTGTGTGTGTGTGTGTGTGTGTTGGATTTTAACCAGTGAACCATGCTGGTTCTTATATTCAGTGTATTAAGATGCTAGGTCAGAATTTAAAAATTCAAACATTGTTTATAAACACACATGAACAGATTTTCAGCAGGGAATACAATAAGCATATGCATCCATTCATAGATCATTAACTTTCCTAAAGTCAGTTTGCTTAGAGGAAGATGGATTCATTATGTGTCCTCTTAGTATTTCTAAAACTTAAAATGAAAACAGAGGAAGTATCTGTTTACACTGAGAGCACATCTTAGAATAAAATTGTATTCTGGGAGTGTTACAGAAGAGAGGATCTGACTGTTCAGTAGATATAGGGGCATACACAGTAGAAGCTGTTTAGTTGAAAAGCAAAGATGATACTGGCCTATAAAAATTATATATGCATTGTATAAAACTGTGGCTATACCACCATCTCTGATGTTTATCATCTCTACTTCCTTTCTGTCACGGTCATGCAGTCACCTGAAGATGACATAGGGTGTTTTGTGGAGAGGAAAGTTATGTGCCAAGAGATGAGAGTACACACTCAGGATGTATGCAGGGAGTGTGGCGATTTTTCATGACTATGGAGAAGTTCCGTACACCATCTGCAGCATTCGCTGTGTACTCTGCTCTTCAGTCCAGGCTGGCTTCCCTTGTCTTTCTTATTCCCCTTGCCCTGAGACTCAGGCTTCTCTGTCCAGGATCGGTACCAATTCCATCCCTTAAAATTTCTTCTCTCCAAACTCCCTGCTGTGAACTTAAGTGCATAACATCTTTGGAGCAGTGATTCTCTGTCTAAAGCATTCTGCGCTCTCAGTGGTAATTAGGCAATGCCTAGAGATGTTTTTGGTTGTCACAAGTGGGAGGTGGTGGCTACTGATCTCTAGGAAGAAAGGCCCGGGACGCTGCACACATCTTGTATAAAATGTGCGGGACAGACCACCGTAGAAGGATTACCTCCTGAAAGTGTCAATCATTCTGGGATTGAGAAACTAGAATATTCATTTCCTGCTGCCATGTGCACAGATGAGCATAGCAACATCAGTACTGAGAATTTACACACAGTGTCCAGTATTTAGAAGCCCACTAACTAATCTCTGGCTTATTAATGAAGTAGTTATTGAGTATTGGGTCTTCTTTGCCTCCTAACTCTTCTTTTATGGTTGAGACTCATTATCACAGGAGATCCTAAGGACTATTTTCTGCCAGATTTCCTCAATCAGAAGAGAAATGACCAGAAATGAGTAAATATCCTTTTCTCTCTATGGGAAATCTGTATCCTTTAAGGTTCAGTGCCCTTCAACACACATCATTTTTCTTTGCCACTAAAATACACTGGGTAAAGATAGAGCTTATGATGTAGAATCCTGCACAGTGAGCCTTGCAAGCAGAGGACCACCATATGGAGACTGTACTTCAGAGCCCCAGAGTCGGGCACTGAATAATTTAAGGCTGAAAAATAATTTAATTCTTTTGTTTCAATTGAAAGCTTCAAGATAAGTTATAAACCTAAGGACAGGTAATGTGACCTTTGACATAAACAAAGACTAATGTTGAGGACTGGAACTGTGCAGAGAGTGACACTGGACTCTATCCAGGAAGAGGGGATCAACTAAAGGGTAAATTCAGTGTCATACAGATGGAGAGTTGGGAATGAAAGTTTCAAGGATGACTTCCAGCTTTCTGATTTGGATGAAATTATCAGTGTTCAAAAGCAAGACATGTTTATGGTTCCTCTGGAGAGCTAGGAGTAAAAGAAAGGTTTTATTATTTTCATTTTTCTCATAGAAACTAGAGATGTTGGAAATTTTATATCTACTTTTTAGGAGAAAAAAAGACTTTGAGAAAAAGAAAAACCAAATAAACATGAGTACAAGGCATACTAGCAGCAGATAAGAGGTTTCCCCTCAATAATTGGTGCCATTATTTTTTCTAAGTTCTTCTCATTTTGTTTTTAACATAGGTGAAGCTGACATTTCCTTTCCTTCTGGTATTGTTCTTGATGTCAGAAGTCATAGATAGCAGTTATTAACTATTTTCTCGAGTACAAAGCACATGAATGTTAAAGCTATCTCTTTAAAAATATTTATTTATCTATTTATTTATTGGTTTCTTTTTTCTTTGAGATGGGGTTTTGCTATGCAGTTCAGGCTGGCCCTGAACTCACTTTGTAGTCCAGGTTGGCCTCGAGCTTGCAGGGATCCTCCTGCTTCAACTTCTTGAGTTCTGGAATTACAGGGGTGCACCCCCATGCTTGGCCTAAAGCTATCTTCTAAAGTTTTGTGCTACAAACACAAACCTAGAAAATATTACTGAATTTATTTATGAATACAGAAATAAATTTTTCAATACGTATGTGAAAAGTAGGTAGCAGTTCAACATCCTATCTATGAAAAAATTGAACATACTATGAACTACAGAGAACTCATTTTTAATTAGTACATATATTTATAATTGTTTACATTCCTTGCAGAGAATTGGTATATATATATATATATATATATATATGATTCACTTTAATTCCTGTTTCCTTCCCTCCCTCCCCTTCATCCATTCCTTGATCCTCCTTTATTTGTTTTTTGTTTTGTACATGCCTGCAATACACAATGTTTATATTCCTTGTGTGGAGCTGGTGTGTACATATAATGTATTTTAATTCCTGTTTTCATCCCCTTTCCCTTTTCTACCCCTCATCTCCCTCCATCTCTTGATTCCCTTGCCCTTTGGGAGAAAGACCTATCTCTCTACTCCCTATTATCTATCTTTTAGTTTGCTTTTCATTTATACTCTGGGATTCTCATATAAGAGAAACGATGTGATATTTAAACTAATATGGCTGATTTATTTCTCTTAATATTATGATCTCAAAGTGCATGTATTTTCCCACAAATGACTCAAATTTATCTTTCTTTATGGGAGAGTAATACACCCTTATGTGTAATTATTAAATACTTTCACCCATTCACTTGTTGATGGACATATAGGCCACTTCCACATTTAATTATAATGAAGTATGCTGCTGTAAACATGGGGAAGGATAGATCACTGTAATATGATGTCTTTAATCCTTTCAGAAAGATGCCTAGAAGAGGAATTGCTAGATCAAACGGCATTTCTAGTTTTTGTCTTTGAAAGAATTTCCATTCTGAGTTCCAAAGTGGTTGTACTAATTTACATTCTTACCAATAGTGTAGAGCTGTCTTGATGTTATAAAGGGTGTCTGTGAAAATCAGTAGATGACATGGTCAAGAATTGAGATGCTTTTTCCCTAACGTCAGTAAGAGGCAGAGATGCCTCTTTTTACCACTCCTGTTCAACATAATTCCAGTGATCCTAGTACATGTAAGAAGTTAAGAAAAGAAATTCAAGTCATATAGTAGAGAAAGGAAGAAACAAAATGTCACTATTGTCTGGGGACATGATTTTCTAGGTATTAACCTCTATAGAATTTCTAGAATGTAGTGAATTTAACAAAGTCACAAGATACAAGGCCAATATGCGAAAGTAGAAGGCATTTCTATATTGCTTTAATAAAAAATTATAAACTGAAATTTAAAGTGTAAATTTTAGAGTTGTTTCTACCATATGGAATATTTGCTGTCAAAATAACAAAAGTACAATGCATGCATGAAAAATAATAAAAGAACTAAATAAAAAGACTCTATTAATGGGTTTGATTGTCACTGAAATTTCAGTTTTCCTCAGATTGATATACAGATTGAGTATAATCCCAAGTGAAATCCAGCAGGATTTCTCTCTCGCTTCCTCCTCCTTTTTCTCTCCCTGTCTGCCTCCTCTTTCCCTTTCTTTTTCCTTCCTTTATTCTTTATTTTTCTTACTTTAGTAGACACTGGTACACTTATTATAAAATGCGCTAAGATAGCTAAAATATTTTAAAAACTAAAAGTTTGTGAGTTATTGACATGGAGATTGACAGACTAATGGAACAGTATAGCAAGCCCAGAGGTAGACGTACATATTCATTAGGGATTGATTTTTGACAAAGCTTCCAGGAAACTTAATGACAAAAGCATAGTCCTTTTCAAGACATCATGGTGAAACAATCCGAATTTATTTGAAAGAAAGAAAGAAAGTTAGAAACCGAAATTAACTCAAGATTGGTTATAAATTTAAATATAAAACCATAAATGATAAAACTTCTCTAAGAAAGGACAGGAGAAAGATTTAGTGATTATGGGTTAGATGTAGATTTCTAAGCTATAACCATAAAAGCACATTTCATAAAATAAAATTTATAAAAGATAAAATGAGTTTCACCGAAATTAAAATCTGTTTATAAAATGGTACTACGTTTTCTTTTTTTTGGTATGTGGGATCAAATTCATGACCGCAAATGCACTTGCCAAGCAAGCACTTGCCACTGAGCTAAGTCCAGGGCCCCAAAAGTATCATTTTGAAAAGATACATCTATTTTTAAAATGACTCAAGGAAAAAAGCATGCCCTAGAAGAAGATATTTGGAGATTATGTACCTTATAAAGGTTAGTATCTAGAATATAAAAATAACTCTCAGTGCA